CATTAAGTGTACAAAGAAATACAAACGCTTAACGTCAGCGGCTAGAAATATAGCAAAATAGTCACAGCAACATAATTTGCACGCGCTTGAACTCTAAAGCAGCAAGAGCTTCTTTTGTAATAAATGAAGCCAGCTAACTAGAAAGTCTTTTGGGGGGGAAAAAATGGAATGAAAAGAAGCAGCATTTAAAATAGCAGCGTAAATCAGCTATGAAATTAAGTGGTGTGTGCGAGGTCAGCCGGTGCCCGACAGCATAGTGACTACACACGTATTTACTTGTGGACTGTGTGACGTCGGTGCGCCAGTCCGCCGGTCCGTCTATTTGTTGTGACTACAAAGCCAAAGACTAAAGACCAATTTGACAGTTGTTTAATCCAGTTCTGTCGCAGACTGAAAATACGAAAACGCTCTGCAGCGCTTTTAATGTTTTTTTTTGTATTGTTTTTTTTTTTTTAATGAGCTGTAGGCATTTGCTGAAAAAACTTAACATACACATGTTTTCTAACGCTATTTCGAGAATTTCAAGTTTATCAGGTGCTGGAGCGGTGCTGCAATTTTACTGCTTATGCATGTACATATGTATGCGTTTATCTTTGAAAGCACAAAGGCGTTTCTGCGTATACCGGAAATGATACAAAGCCGAAAAATGCAAGAAATTAGTCAGCGTAGATTTTTAGTGATTTTTTTTTTGTAGATTTTTACCGCAAACGTAAATCCTGTATGGTGAAAATATTTTTATTTTCAAAGAGGTTCCTTGCTATGAATTTCTTAAATTCAAAAACAAATGTATTATCATTTTTTATATATTTCTATTTTGAAAAATTTGGTTAAATAGCTTAGTTTAGTTTCACGAAATTAATTTTCTATTTTTATCATGATAAATAATTTTTCAATTCCATAAAAAAAATTCTTATTATTTACTTAAGAAATTATTTATGATAATTTGTTTTATATGCGAGTATTTTTCGTATATTTTTTAAAAAATTTTTTTTTTAATTTTTTTCCATAAAAAATTATTTTTTATTACCCGTTTTTTATTAAACCGGTTTTAATGGCATACCAGACATATTTCCCGCCGCAGCTGATTCAATAAGTAAACATTATCAGTCAATGCAAAAACAAAAAAGGAAAGAAGTGAAACCAAAAACAACATCATATTTGCTATAACAGTGCTAAAAAGTACTTACAAAAGTTTTATTTGAAAAGTTTATGCACGCCTTATCTGAATTTAAGAGAGGAAACTTAAAGAAAATATTACTCTAATGAAGTTTTAAATTTACGTAAATATTTTACACAAAAAACTTTTTGAATACATTTTGTGAAAAATTCATACATTGCTTGCTTCAAGCTTTTTTTCCTACTTTTTATAAAAATAAAATAAAATATTGATCTCGGGAAATTTTCACTTTCACTTTTTTTGTTCTAAAAATTTAACGCAAAAAGCAATACTGTTTCCGATAATAATATTTTTTTTTTTAAACTTTTTAAAAATAATGGAATAAATTAAAAATAAATTTTGATGAAAATATTGAAATTTTTTTTGTGTTTACTGCACTAAATCGCTTATTTTTTTTTCTATTTTTCGCTTCCTATAAATGTATATATCATATTTTAACAGTTGGTGTATTGTTATTTAAACAATCAAACAATCTCCCATATATACATATTAATATTCAATATTTTTTTGCGATGCATTGAATATACATATATATAGTTATATTTGAAAGCAAGAATTTCGGCACCAACAAAACAATTAAAAGAAAATTTTTAACACCAAAATAGATATGTGGATTTTTAGCACACCACAAGATCAACAAAAAAACAAAAACACTACAAAAACTTTAATTTTTGTGGTACATAAAAAAAATTAAAAAACGCAACTTGAAATAAAAATATCTTCCACTTCCAAAGAGAAAGATAAAAATATAAAATATCTATGCAGACAAACAAAATAAAACATGCATATACAAATTTTTATATATATATTTATATATGTATAGATGTGTATATAATATATACATGGTATATGCAATAAACAAAACTGTGAAATCTACAGTATAAGCGTCCACCAGAAAAATTACATTTTCAAGTTCGTTTGTATGTGCAGCTTGCTATATACTCGTATGTTCGCATGTGCTTTTTTACGTTTGTACTTTGCCAGCACCGTAAAAGTCTACGAAAAATTACGCCGAATTTGTATCAGAAATAATGCATTTAAACATATTTGGCACTCGCATATTTTTATTTTGTTTTAGTTTCCTTTTTGCTCTTGTTATTCCTACTTTGCTCTTCTATATTTTCAATTTATTTAATTTTTTATTATACATTCTGCATATTTTTTGTTTCTTTTATTTTTATTTTTCTATTATTTTCATTTTTTTTATAAATTTTCTCAATTTCAAATTTTCTTCCGTTGGCTTCCAGCCAAAGCATGCATTAGGTGTGAGTGTGTGTGTGAAATACCGTTAAAGCAACATGTTGGCATTTGTTTTGAGTGTACATTCTTACATACTTATATGTAATATTACCAATATTTAATACTATTTTATGCGCATATCTCTGTCCATACATCAGCACGTCATCTCCGTTGACAGCCGATGCCGGTTGTGGCATGTGCGCCTGCCAGTCAGTCTGTGCTATAACTTGAATATTATTTTTTTAATATAAATAAAAACGAAAGTTGAAAGGGTTTCAATGCCAATTATGACAGTAAAGATACAATAAAATGAAATAGAAAAAAATAAAAGTAAATAACTAAAATAAAAGCCATAAAATAAAATAAAATAAAATAAAATAAAATAAAATAAAATAAAATAAAATAAAACAAAACAAAATAAAATAAAATAAAATAAAGTAAAAAATATTTATATAATATCTCTAAGGATTTTCGGTTTTTTCCGTTTTTTATTACAAATTGACTTACAAGTACAAATATTAAAGAAAAAAATTCACTGAGATGAATTTCCTGGCATTAACTGTTCCACACATATGCAAACATATAGATATGTATATTTTAAAATTTCATTGCAGTGCATCAGTTTTATTTTTAAGCATGCACTACATATACATACAACATTGGATATCACGCACATGGCGTATACGCGACATGGGTGTGGTGCCAATGACGTCAGCTTGTCTGTCGCATCACAGTGTCGTAGCATTCATTATAATAGTGGATCTCGAGAATAAATAAATAAATAAATAATAAAGGAATGAGGAATCACAACAAAAGACTTGGAAACAAAAACATAAGGCAAAACGCGGACAGCAACAGTGGAGAGTTTTTTTTAGTAAAATGTAAAATCATTTAAAAAAAAAAAAAGAAAAACTTTTCAAATTGAAAAAAAAAATTAGGAAAAATATGTAAAAAACGTAAGAGTGTTTCAAGGGTTCTAAAAATAACTAAAGCAGCAAAAGTGCGCCGTTAAACAGATTTAAGTTTTTTATTTAATTTTATTTAATATAAATATATATGGTGGTCCATTAATGTCAACGCTAAAATTTTAAAAGATATTTCTATTTTTTATTTTTATTTTATGTATTTTTTGGTTGCACATATGTATGTATGTACATATTTCTGCTTTGGTATATTTAATTAAGGCATGACGACAGCATGTACTCATTTTTAAGCAAAGTGTATGTGTTTTTTGCACACATATGTACGTGCAATACTTTGTTTTTGTTTTCGTTTTGCCGCCGCCATGCGAGAAAATAAAATTTCGAAATTACTGCTCTTCCTGACGCCGCAAACACATTACGATAAGTTAAATTATTTGCTTATTTCAAGTTAAGGCAACAACAAAGGCAATCAACCGGCATTTAACTGATCGCTATTTTCGCACATGTTTTCTGTTGGCCTTTTCGTTCGTTTTCTCTCTTTCTCTCTCTCTCTCTAGAAATCTTTGGCTTACTGTTGCTCCCGGTCGCGAGTCACTTATTTTGCCTTTATTTTTATGGAAAGCAATGCATTCCCTCAGCACCCTTACAATTCTTGCCTAATTTATTAATTTTTATTTGTTTATTTTCATTTCCCTTTCTTCTGATACATTTATTGCAGTTTTGATTGCAAATGTAAATGAAAACAATGGGATTCGAAAATCGAAATTGCTTACAATAAACGTTCGAAACCAGTGAATTCATTCAATGAAATTTTGTAGCCAAAACGGGCGTCAATTGCCGCTTCAAGGTTTTTCTTATTTCTTTATGAGTTGATTTTCTGTTTTTTTTTTGTTTCTTTTTTTGTTTGGTTATGCCAAAGGCCATCTGGGGCCCAAAAGCGGGTATGAATTTTGTACGAGCAAGCGAGTAACAGCTAGAGCAGCCACGAAATACACAGCTCCTCTCAGCCGCCGCTGAACTGATTGCCCGTTCAATACTCTTTGTGCGATATACAAAGATTTTCGAAAACGTTTTCGAAGTTTTCTAGTATTTTGCTCTATGCCCTCACATGTGGCTGAAACAATAATTTGCTACATTCATTTGGAGAATTCTCTTTTACTAGCGCGGTCGCATTTCTTCCACGGAAACCTTTGACGCACTTTTAATCCTAATAATACTATACTATATAGTCACTACAATATTACATATATTAAATATATATATACATATATTATATATATATAAAAAAATTTTTTTCAAGTGTTCATTTGCCGCAAGCGCTCAAAAATATACATATCTACGCACAATAACGCGTAAAACAGGCCGATTTTGAGTAGAAAAAAGAACCGTCTTTTGAATTTTCTTTGTGAAAGCTAAAGAGCTTAAGTGATTTGTGTGCCCATTTCGCATATTTTTGTCATCTAATTTTGACAACAGCTGAATAACGGACCGCGTGGTCTCATAAAGTTTATATGCTACAACGACGGACTTCAAAGCCAAAAAAAAAACTTTTTAAAGAAAACAACAAATTTTTCGTCACTTTTCTAATATTTTTTCACACGCCTTCTTTCTCTTTCACTCTCTCTGTGTTGCCACACACGCACACATACTTCTCTTTGCAGATTAAACGACACCCTACGCGAGAAGGATCGTCAGGTTGGCAAGGATTTGGACGAGATCGAACAGGTCTTCCATCGCATCTCAGAGTTGCAAGATAAATTCAACACCCTACTCGAGCAAATACAAGAGGTACATACGTTTGACGAGAATATAGCCGCCATTGAGAAGACGCTCAACGATTTGCAACAACAAGTCAACAAAGCTGTTGAGCAGAGCACACAACTGATCGCCAAGACCAAGGAAAATTATCTACAAAAACAAAATCTCGTACCAAGTGATATAGCACAGGAGTTTACTGCATTGGAATTGCTCTCGGAGCGTGTACAAGGCGCCATGGAAACGAAACAGAAGGAATTCAAACGTGCCAAGACTGTACGCACCGAATACTTGAGTGGCGTCGATGAAATCCAAAGATGGCTGCGTCAAGCGGAAGTACAAGTACAGGATCGCACACTGGCACCCGCACAAATGAAAGAACTCTTGCATCGTATTAATCAGGAAATCACCGGCATTTATGAACGTTTCACAATGGTCAAGACAAATGGACAACTGATTATCGATAATTGTCGCAATAGTAATGAGAAATTATTGGTACAATCGACAATCGATCAATTGGCACAGGAATTGGGACAAGTACGCTCGTGGTTGGATGAGAAGAAGCAACAAGTTGGTGATAGTTTGGATGCATGGACGAGATTTATGAATCTGTATCAAATTGTGATGGCGTGGGTGGCAGAGAAACGTACCTTCATCGATCAGACAATCGAACTGCGTACACTGCCCGAGGCGCGTAACAAGCTAAATGACTATGTAGCGGCTGTGAAGAGTATAAAACCGATCGTTAAGCATTTAAGTGAAATGGATAAGGAACTGGAACATATTGGACAAGTGACGACTGTGGGCGATCTCAAGGACAAACTGCAAGAGGCTGAGGATGCGAAGGTTTCCGTGGAAGCGGTGCTACTGGAAAGGGTAGGTTGGGCAGAGAACTTGAGGTGAAGTTTTGGTGCAGAAGCAAATCTGCTACGGTGGGACATTTGTAAGTAATGGATGGGTAGGGGGCAGTGAATTATGAACTAGCGGGCGTGTGAAGATTGTTTAAAAATCTTCAAGATCAAGCAGGCTGCTTAATCGTTCATAATTCACAGCGCAGATGTAAAATGAAAGGTTTGCGATTTCATCTAATGGTATCTAATTCCTGGTAACAACAATTTTCTTCCAATAATAACATTTCTCTCTCTCTCTCTCGCTCTAAATGCGCTCGCACACACTCATCTACGCCTACAGAATTCCCTACTACAAGAAGCCTGCGAAGAATGGGATCAATGTGAACGAAAAATTAAGGATATACGCGGTTGGATCGATAAAGCGAAACAATCATTGGACTCACCACAACATAAGAAGAAACCACTGCGCGATCAATTGGGTTACTGCGAGAAAACATTGGCGGACATAAATGTACAGAAGACGAAATTGCGTTTGTCTATTGAAAAATTGGAGGTAAGTTTAACGGTTTGGAGCCGGAAGAATCTTGATGTGATTGGTTTACATTCATTAAAATGTTCTTGAATGTCTTTAATGTATGTAAACAATTTGAATTGTTTATAAATTACAAAGTAAATAATACGCGCCTTTTTTTTGCCATGCTCTTTTTCTCTCCCTCTCTCTCTCGCTTTTTTTCTTTTTTTCTGTCTCTTTTATTTTCTTTTTCTGGCATCTCACTCACTCGTTACACCACCGCAGGTGCACTTCCGCAATGGTATGGGTGGCGATCCGCGTCTAAGCGAAAATGTTGATGATCTACTGATAATCTTGGACGGTCTAGCGGAATTGGTACGCACCAAAACCACTAGTCTGGAAGAGACACTCGGCCAGATTGATATCTATCAACAACAGATGCAAACGTTGCGTCAAAAGATCATACAAGAGGAGCAACAATTGAGACTCGTAATGGCGCCCACGTATCTGCCACACGATCGTGAGCGTGCATTAGCCGAGCAACAGGTATGTAAACGGAACAGGCAGGTGTTTAGTTATAGATTTTTTATTATCAATAAAAATATATTTTATTTTAATTAGTAGAGATATTTAGCTTATAATTGAACTGAACTGATTTTTTTAGTGCTAATTGAGAGGCAGTGAGTTTATTAAGCTATCAGCGGTTAGGTTGCCAAATCATTGACTGAGAAATTTGTTAGTTTCTTTTATGAATTTTAGGCTGTGAGGCAAAAAAAAAATCCAAAGGAAAATATAAACCCCTATAGTTGTAAGTTAACTGTGCCCAATTTTTAGGTATTTTCTGTGCTCCAACTCTTGCACTATCTCTCTTGCTGCCTAAGTATATACTTACTTACTTGCTTGAGTGTGTCGGAGAACTTTGTAGCAACAGAAAAAAAGGGCACAGCTTATATATGCATTGACATCGAAAATCATATTATCACAATACATTTTTTTTTGGTGCTGTTTATTTTAAATAACAATGAAAACAGATTCCCAAAAGCGTACAACTTACTTTTTGTTGTTAGCAAATTGTTAACGAATTCGTTCTTTGACTAACACACATGCACCCAGTACCCTTGGAAATATCCCCTGGAGTAACCTCTAGCAGCATTGAAACTTATTTTAAATTATTATTTTTTTCTTTTTTTGTTTTTGCTTTTGTAAAGCAGTTTTTTTTATTTTTAAAATGAAATTGATGAGTACCGAAATTGGCGCATTGCTCAAGAAATTACACGGTGGCTGCGAAGTTTTTGAAAATTGGCAATTTTTAATTTTTTTTTGTGGTTTACAAATACCTCGATTTGAGTTTTTATTTGTTTTTTTTTCGTTATTTTTATAATTTTCAAAATTTGTAGAAGTTTAAATATTTTATTGTTCATTTTTTATTTTTTTTTTAATACTGTTTTAATTAAAATTTTTTACTTATATAATTCATTTTTTTTTTGTTTATTTAAAATTTTCATTTAATTTTTCTTATTACTATTATTTTTAATTTTTTGGTTTCATAACTTTTTTGTTTCTTGGTTTCTTCATTTACTTGCACACATTAAAATCGTACGCAGATGGCATCTGCACGCCATTTATCGACATTTTTCTTCAGCATTATATCTTTTTATGTGCATTTTCGTCATATTATTATTTTGATTGAGTGTATTTGTTGCCATGCCAACACCACCAACGCCATCATCATCAACATTCATTTGTATTTTAACAACATGCAGCAGCATTTTGTGCATTGATATCATCGCCATCAATTCATAATTCATATTTTCATTTGTTTTTTGAAACCATGGAAGTTGTAGAAAAATGCGAAAGCTGGATATGAAAAGAAAAAAAAAAATAAAAATTTAGAAGGTATGGTATAAAACAAGCTTTAATAAAGTAAAGATGTTTGAATAGAGCTTTCACAATTTTTTAAGCTTTCACCAAAAGTTTTGAGCTTTCACTTTTAAAAATTTTAAATGACACTTCATGAAATACAAATAAATTAAATGAAGAAAATTTAAACTACTTCCTTGAGTAGAGCTTTCAGCGAGCTTTCATTTCGAATTTCTACAACTTTTCCATAAAAAGCATTACAATTTCATACAAAAATGAGTGTTAGGGGTACATACTTATACATTTTTATACTTAAAATATATTTTCGTAATTATTGCATATTATTTCTTATAAAACTGTCAAACGTGTGAATTCGTAAATATATTATATGGATATACATATATATAAAAAAATAGAAGGAAACACGTGGCATTCATATATTACATACAAATTGTATATCGGTCAGCAAGCTGTAGCTGAGCAGCAAAATTTAAAATTTTAAAATAAATTCTACTCAATTCACTATTTTGTTTTTGTTTCTTCTTATATTTTTTTTCTTTGCTAAGCGTAGGTATGGAAATGCCTGTATGACTGCCGTCATTACGCTTATTTTTAGGCACTGCTTGTCTCGCAGTAACACAAAAGCATATACTACGCCATGTTGTATGTATAGCTGTGTGTGTTCACCTTGAAGACTCGCATTTTAAATATATATTATACAAATACATAAATATATACGCAAAAACTGTGTAAAATGTTTATTCATTTTTTTCTCTCCTTTGATTTCCTTGAATATGAAGTAGCTTTATGAATCACACGATTTAAAAAAAATATTGAAAATTATAAATGAAATATGTGAAAGTCATATCAATTATTTCTAGTTTTAGTTCGAAACTGGATATACTAGCATTAAACGAAACAAAAACACTAAAATAAAATCAAAAAAATATTTTGAAAACTATAAAAAGTAAATTTTTCTGTAGTTAAATTAATTAAATTTAAAATCCGTTAAATAATTCATAAATTTATTACTGCATTAAAGTTTGTGCTTATTCACATTGAAATTTGTTTGTTAAATTCAGTTGCCACGCACTTTCACTTTTATTAAAATGTGCTTTCATGCACGTAAGCTCAACGTCATTTTGGTGAAAGCACTGAGTATTGCTAATAGCAGACGAATACAAGCACAATTGCATTTACTTTGATGGTAAAGTACACACACTCGTTTCACTCATTCATTAAATTCTATTTCATTCATGCACTTTTCATTTTATTAAACATATTTATCACATAGCACATACATACATACACCTATATACATCCATCCATCATTGAGTAGCATTTATCTTAATGAAAAATATTATTTTCTTGGTAATTTGTGTAATAAAAACAATTAAATGGTGGTTTCTTACAGCCTGATTTATTTAATTAAAAATAAATAAAAATGAAAAATAAATGTACTTATTTTTTCAACATTTGGTTACTCATACGCATACATGCATAACTCATCTGCACTTGTATTGGGTACGTTTGTCGGAAGGGTGCAAAAAATACCTTTCTTCCGCTCGCACATTATTTAAATTAATTTACTTTATTTCTATTCTAATTCTTTATGCTTCTTAGTTTCCTAAAAAGATATTAAATAATTATTATTATGGAAATTACAACAAAAAAAAATAGTTTATAATTTTAACATTTTTTTGACATTTTGTATTTCTTTTTTTCTTTTATTTACATACTCATTTTGTAACAAAAAAAATTGAAAAAAAAATATTATGTTTGGAACGCATACATACATACGTACATAAACATATAACAATATAAAACAACAACAAATTCTCGATAAAATAAAACATATACATATAAAACAAATGGTGTTGTTGCTTTCTGAAATTTGCTACGTACAAAAAAAAAAATGGTAAAATTGCGACGGTAATGGTGCTGAATTAACAATTACTTTATTATGTACTAATTCAAATTACTTTCATACATATTGCATAAATGTGCATTGCTAACGAAAAAAATTAACAACTAATTACAATTAAAAATTAATAATATAACACATATTTAAATAATTAAAAAAATTAATAATAAAATAATATTAAATAATTAAAAATTAAAAATTAAAATTTAATAATTATAATTAAAAATTTAAAATTAAAAAAAAAAAAAATAAATATAAAAATTGCTCACAAAATATATGAAAACTGAAAAAATAAAAAAATTTATAATTATAATATTCAAAATCATAATAAAAAACTTTTTTATTATTAATTAAAAAAAATATATAAAAAAAAAACACTACAAAATGTTTACAAAATTCAAAAAAAAAAATATATATATATATATATAAAAATAAAAAACTATAAATAAATCTATACAAATTCATAAAATAATAAAACTATAAAAAAAATTTAAATTAAAAAATTAATAAATAACGATTCAAAAATTAAAAATAAAATCATACAATTAAAAAAACATGAAAAAATGACAAAATATATTCAAATATATAAATTAAAAAATATAAAAAAATTTTGAAACTTTTAAAAAATTATTTATAAAAATTAACTCAAAAATTTACCATACGCCACTGAAAACTCTCCATTTTAACATATCCGCTATAACGCTTGTTGGCTTTTTCTCACTCACTCATGTGTGCGCTCTCTGCCCAAACTCTCTTATGCCTGCTTTAACACTCATTACTCATTAATTTACAAACGTTCAAACGCTAATTGCTTCAAACTCATGCTTGAAAATATTTAAAAAAAAAAAAAATTGTTTAAAAAAATGCTTAACATTTTAAATAAATTTAATTAAATTTGCCTTCTTCTTCCTTTGGTAAATGGGTACTGTCTCGTACATATAAACACACATACTCTCCTGGGTTACAATAAAAAAAAAAAAAAAAAAAAAAACTCATTTGAACTCTTGTATATATTTAAATTTTTGTATTGACCATCTCCATTTGTCTGCCAACGCCTGTCCTTTGTGCCTCTCTGCCTTTGTCTTGTATGTATGTATTTCGAATATATTTATATATATACAATAGGCATGTCGGGAGCGTGTCAAGAATCTTCATTCGAAAATAACTGCACGCAATGAGCGCATTAAGTTGTTAATACATCGCGGCACACCGGACGATGCTGTGTTAGAAACATAGTTTTAGGGGCGCATAAACCCACACACCAACATATACTATACATATTTACATCTGAAAAGAAAAGAGAAAATGAAGAATACCATATACATAACTACATTTTTACTATAAATATTTTACAATACTATAATTTTAATAATGTATAGGCAAAAAAAAGGAAATATTTTAATTTGTTTTTTTTTTCTAATTTAATTTCGTAATTTTCGTACCTAATTGTTACAAAAACCAACCAAAAAGTGTAAAAGTCCAAAGAATGCGTACTTAAATTTAGTTACCCTTAAGCCAATGAAAAATATATAGAAATACATATAAACATTTTAGCAGCCACCGCCAATGAAACTCCGTTGCAAGCAAGACGTCAAGCGGCAAATATTAGAACTAAGGCCCACAGAGCCACGCCCACGGCAGTCTCCCAATGCCGGAAGCGTGCTGTGTTGGCAAGGCAGAGTACGAGGAAATGTTTACCGCTTGAAGTTTTGCGTAAAAAAGTACGTAACCCCTGATTTTGTACACGTTTTCGAAACATTGTTGTAAACAGCCTCACAAAATGTATGTCAAAAGAAAGGAAAAGTTTAAAAAAAAACTATAAAATTTTATAAACCATGACCCACACAAAACCAAAAATACAAAAAAAAAAAAAAAAAAAATTTAAAATAAAAATAGAAGCGATTTTAAAATGCAATAAATATTAATTAAAAATATATAGAATACAAAATCGACTATTTTATTTGAGAACATACAATAACTCATAGGAGAACTAGAGGCACGAGAGTTTAGCGAATATCACAGCAGCATTTTAGGCTGTTAGCTCAAAAGGATTAAGACTACGTTAAGGATGTTTGGTCAGCGCTTTTGAAAGCTAGCTAGTTCATATTACGAAAAACAGTTAGTTAGTGTTAGAGCTACGCATGTAAAAGTTCACAAAAGCTTATACAGATACATATTAGTTGGAAGCCTAGCTATAGCTATCGTAGGTTTTTTAGGACTCTTACAATATAAATATTATCTACATATTTTTTTGATTGCGAAAAAATAAAACCAAAACCACTCTAACATATTTGGCAAATCTCTTTCGCCCTTTACTTTTTATCAACAAAAAAAAAAAAAAAAAACATAAATCGAATGCTAGGCACTACGTGCGTCTATCGATGCCATGCAACAGCAATACGATGGGATCGCAGCCTTATCATACACGCTGGATCCGCATTCCGTTGTTACCACATCATCGGCTGTATCCATGCTATTGAAGCCATCCAAATTAGGATTATCCTATGCGGAAGTGCTTTCCGGACATTCGAGTCCCGTTAGCTTTGCACAAACGGATAATGTCCTACATAATGTACAGAGTAAGATACAAAATGCTAAATTGCATGACAACACCCACATTGCGATGGTTAAAAGTACGAATGATAATGATAATACTACAACAAAAACAACCACAACTACGATACAGACTACCACCACCCATAATAGTGCAGTAGTAGAAGGTGTTGAACCAGAGAAAGTACAAGAATTTGAACCTCAACAATATGAAGACACGACGCAAAGAACGCCACCAACGCATGTAGCGCACAACGATAATGTCAAAACAAATGTGTTAGCAACATCAATCGGCGAACCACGCGTGCAGAGCACGCAAAGTGAATATGTAAATGAGAACGGTCAGCGCGTGATGGGAACACGTACAATAACGACGCGTACGATAACGACGACGCAGCAACAGACAAGCAGCGCACAACAGCCAAAGAGTGAAGAGCCTGATGTAACGGTAAGTTCCTGGCATGAAGCGTCTGTTGAGCTCAACCCGCCAAGCGTAGCGAATACGGAAGCGCCACAAGCTGCTGTGCGTCAGCAACAACAGCAACTACAGGCGCCCCGCGAACAGCGTCGTGGCCGCTCACCGCGCCGTCGGCAGCAACAACAACAACAGCAGCAACAAGACGAAACGCTGCATCATACACAACAAGCTCAACACACCTCGGAATATTCGACGCGCGGGCAACGTGTAACGCGCTCGCACGAATCTAATACGACGCGCACCCAGGCACATGCCAGAACCCAACAGCTTCAACAACAACAACAAACACATTTGCTCGCACCAGCACAAGAACGTGTGCGCTCACGCAGCCCCATTTGGGCGCCTGGCTCTACATCGTACGCTGAGGTTTTGCGCGGCATTGAATTAGAACGCCAACGCGTTGCGACTGCTGCACAAAAGCGCGCACAAAGCGGCATACAATCTATTATTACCACAACCACGACCAGCACGAGTGATTACGTTACGCCAGCGCAGGCGCCAGCGTTAACGGAGCCACCCCAAGTGGAAGAGACACAGAAAATGCAGCAAAATGTGGTTGTAAATGTGCCAATAGTGGACACATATGTTGGCGATGCAGAGGAAAATATTGTGAGTTATCAGCAGACCGTGTATGACACGAGAGAAACAGGCGCTGAGTTCGCAGACATTGTGCTAACCACAAGTCACGATTCGCCGCCTACCTCGCATACATTTGTTGAGAATATTACAACGCCGAGCACTTACGAAATAACTATGAACTCGAGCACTTTCGCGGACACAACCGCTACCACGTTACCAAACACATATGTCGAAACCGCTACCATACCCACCTCTTACATCGACACGTCCGTCCCTGCAACCAATGTGCCAATGACCGCAGCAGAAATACAAGCTACCTACTTACAACCCGATCCACAGCTCTATCAGAGCATGTATGAGAACATGGCTGACGCCGGTCAATGGGGCTACGCGACCGTGCCTGATGCACAACAAGTCGTGCAACCCGATCAAACTACAAGTACGCAAAATTATTACGAACAGATAATGCAAATGCAATATCCACAGGGCACAACGCAGGCGCAGACAACGTACGCCCAATATCAGTACCATCCGACTGCAACCCAATATCAGTTAATGACTGGTTACTACCCCGCCGGGCAACAACAAGCCGAATCTTATCAGACGACGGTTTATGCACCAACAACCGACCAAACCCAATTATATTACCCACAACAGACTCAACCCTATCAAGAGCTGCAAAGTGTGGGCTACGAGTCCCAGCCTCAAGAGTATCTGACCAATTATCAGCAGCAAACAGAATCGAATCAACAAAGTGTGATTGATCAAGTCGTCACGACGCTGGCATCCATTGTACAAAATGTCACGACCACACAAACTATGCACTCCCAACAACAGCAAGTTGTGTCCGAACAATTTGAACAAAACACGCCGTTGCAACCTTTTACAGAACCCACACATAGCTACGACCATTCGCCGTCCCCACTGCAGTACGAGCAATCGTCTGCACAATTACAAACCTACGAGCAAGCCCAACCCGGCGTACAGTACGCACCGTCGTATGAGCCGCAATCGATTGAGATCGATGAACCGCGTCCCGACATCACATTCGGTCAGTTCGAAGTGAATGAAATCGAATCAATACCCGCGGAGGTTATGGAACACACCATGCCAGCCCCGCAACAGCATCCACAGCAATCTTTAGAGCCTGCGCCGGTTGTAGATTCAGTGTTTTTGCCCGCTCCCTACTCCGCGCCCTTACAACCCATGGCGGCTGATCCTGTGCACGTAACGCCAGAAGCGTTAGCGCCCATTCAACCCACCCAAAGCCCCACACAGTCAAGAAGACAAGAAAAGCCATTCGCAAGCGAGCCCACACATGGCACGACTTATGCTGAAGTACTATTTGGTATACATCATGGTGCAGGAAGTAATGCTTTCCAGCCATCCAGTCAACAGCTACAGCCACAGCAAATCCGCATTACAACAGCCAAACATGATACAAACACAAATAGATCACAGCAACAAAGATTGACAACCAAAACTGCAACGACTACTACAACGACATATGCGACTACGATGACATCGAACAGTAATAATAATCGACGAGCAGCCATGAAGTCTCCTTCTCGGAATGCACCGGCAGTTCAGAGAAGAGAAGACGTTACTGCTGTTGCGCCCGTGGCACCGGTGCCACAACTGCGTAAAGTAGAAAGACCGCCAAGAGGTCAAAGGACAAATTCGAAGCCGCGACAGCAACATAATGGATCGCCACCAACCGCGCACAGCGAGTTGGAGGTGCGACAAAAGCATGAGAAGCAAGAGAGACATGAAAAATATGACAAGCATGTCAAAATCGTGGAAGAATCCACTAGCATAACTGCAATAAATAAAGCTCACAAAGACACGAAACATGCACGCGAAAGCAAAAGGGTAAAACAAGCCGAAGTTGTGTCCGAACTTCATGGAGAGACCACAGATGCTGCTGAAACAGTCGCAGCTGTGGGAAGAACAGACACAACCAGACAGCCGGTTAAGACCCCGACAAGCGATGTCGTGCCTGAGCAAGAGCCCGAAAGGAAACCAGCCAAACCGAAAAGACAAAAGAAACACAAGCATTCAGGTGAAATTGAGGAGCCTGTGGAGAAGAAAGAAAAATCAGAACCGGCTATAGAAAAAGATGCCGTCAAAGTTAGCCCTGCTACGGAAAAAGTTCCTGTTACTGCTGAAAAGCCAGTCACTTCGGCAGCGAAAGTAGTTCCTATTAATGAAAATATCGTTCCTCCTAGTGAAAAACGCGATACGCTGAAGTCTACCACACTGAACTTTATAGCCGCAGAGAGTGTCATTAAAGACATACCGGCCAAACCAGCGAGAAAAGAAAAGTCAAAACCACAACGAAAGCACTCACCACCCGTCGAAGAGTCTATCCCACAAGTGACTGAGACAAGCAATCAATTCGAGGCTGCGCCAGTGGTTACTGAGTCCACTAAAGTACTAACGGTGAATGGTGGCTCTACAACAACCACCGTGACAACGACCACAATCACCAAACGCATAACAAAACGTTTTATAACAAGAATCATAGATGGTAAGGAAGTGACGGTTGAGGAAGATGTGGTTGAGAATGAGCCCACAGTTGATACAGACGTGCAAATCAGTCAGGTGGTCGCACAACCCGAAACTATAACGGAAAGTAGCACAATCGAAAAGATAGTGGGCAAAGAAGAAATACCACAAAAGCCTTCAAAGAAAGATCGCAAGAAATCTAAAAGTCCTAAAGAAGAACCGGCAAAGAAACCGGTGGTTGAACAAGCAGATATCGCCACAGAGGCCATCAGCGAGCCATTAATTGAAGCTGATGCCATTAACGATAAACAAGCGCCTACAATCGAGCAGTTGGTAGAAACCGTTGAAGCCAAAACTTTGAAAAAGAAAGATAAGAAAAAGCCAAAGGAGCAAAAACAAGCGACGCCTAGCGAAAAACTCACGCCAACTACGGAGGTTTCTGCAATAGCAAACATTACAAAAGAAACAGAAGAAACCACTAATGTCATGGTTCATGAAGAAGCACTTGTGCCTCTGAAGCAGCCATCAGCAACACAAGAGAAGGTAAAATCTGCTATTACAGATTTCATAAGCGCCGAAAAAGAGACATCAGAAAAGCCAACGAAAAAAGACAAGAAAAAGACCAAGTCTCAATTGGCACCAAAAGAGAGCGCAGTTGAACCGAAAATTCAGGAGAAGGTGACTGCAGAAGAAACAGTAGAGAAATCACTTAGTGCGGAGCCTACAGCTCAAGAGCAAACTGCAGCTGAGAGCGCACCTGTTACAGCAATCACTGCGGAGAAACCTGTAATTGAAGAGCCTCACGTGGAAGAAAAAACTGTTCCTAAAATCTCACCAGTGGAAAGTGTTGAACAGAAAACAACAGTAACTGAGGAGAAATCAGCTATTGAATCAACACCAATTGGGGTCATTAAGCCAGAACAGGAGCAACCTATTATTGTAGAACAGCCTCTTAACGAGCCTCACGTAAAGTCGATTACCTCCATCGAAGAGAAGAAAGGAGAAGTGTTGTTTGATGATATACAGCCCGTAGCTCCCACAACTTTCATCGAAGAGGGTGTACTAATATTGGAAACCCCTGAACCAGCAGCCGAAAATCTCAATCTGAAAACAAGCGTTCAAGATTTCATTGCTAGCGAAAAGCTAGCTGGAGAGCAGCCTAAGAAACCCGAGAAAAAGGATAAAAAGAAGAAGAAACATGCAAAAGAGCAGCAGGAAAAACCAGCGTCACAAGTTGAGACACCCATCAACATAGCTCAGACCGAAACGGCGAATGTAATTGAGACACCGACAGAAACCATTGTTCGAGGCGAGGAAATTTCTTCAACCGATGGTTATACAACATCGATCATCAAGACTACAACTAAGAAAACATCGACATTAACGACGCGTACAAAACTAATTAGAATTGTAGATGGAAAGGAGGAAATTGTTGAGGAAGAAGAAACCACACAGAAAACACCAGACGAGTCTATTGAGGAAACCATAGATGTCATTGAGGGAACACCGTTAACTCAAGAAGACATCATACAAAATGTTCGTTTAACCCAGCCGGCTGGGGAAACTGTTAGTGTAACAGAAGAGGAACCCAAAATAGAGACTTATTCTCGCACCACTTCCGATGGTAATATAACCAAGACAACAACGGTAATTACGCGCAGAATAATAACGAAAATAATTGATGGCAAGGAAGTGTTAATTGAAGAGAGTGACGCTATTAGCCCAGTCGAGCAGGTAGTGAATAAACCACCAGTATTCATTAAAGAATCTATGATCTCACCCAACAACGAAACTACCCCGGCTGGACCATTTGCTATCGCAGCGCCTATGCTGGAGTCTGTTGCAGAAACTGTTGATGAGATTGTAGAGAACAATGTGAAAAATCGTGTCACAGATTTCATTAACACCGAACAACAGTCAGCAGAACAGCCACAGAAACCCGCTAAGAAAGATAGGAAAGACAAAAATAAAGGCAAACAGGAAAAGGAGACTTCCAAGGCTGTTGAGGAAACGGTGCAAGGAACGCCAGCAACTGTTACCAGAACAGAAGAAAGCACATTTTCGTCAACACCGGCCGAGACTGAGCGCGAACCAGCATCGGTCGACGAGGAGAGTACAATAACCGTTGAGATCTCACCGAATGTGGCAACCACAAAAACTATTACTACTGTGACCTCTCAAGCAACGGCACAGTTAGCCGCAAACGATGTCACAGTTACATTGAAAAAGCCAGCAAAGCAAGTAGCCTTCGCTCTCGACGTTTTAGATAACGAAGCTGACGTGGAGTTCACACTGCCTGCGCCAAAACCACGTGCAGATATTAAAACATTAACAAATGACTTTTTAAATAGCGAAAAGGAATCTGAACAACCTCAGCCACAGCAACAACTAGAGCCGATTGTGCAAAAAGTCGCCGAAATAACAATTACAGAGCCACAGCCTGTATTAGAAACCACAGAGCCCCTGAATGAATTAAGTGCAATACCAAATGTGAGAGAAAATGAAAAACCAGCAACACCAATAGCAGACGAAGAGAGTGGCGTCATAAAGACCACAACAGTGCGCAAGACTAAATTTGTGAAGAAAATCACACAAAAGAAACAAGACTCACCGGAGCCACAAGCATCCATCGATGCGGCCGAAGAGGCCAAGGAAGAGCCAACAGTTGAAAAATCCGAATCGACTGTGCGCGAGGTGGCAGATAGTGGCGTCGTGAAGACGACCACTGTGCGCACCATGAGCATTAAGTCGCAAAATGTGAACGAAAGTGAAGTGGCCGAAACTGCCACAGAGGTGTTGGAAGAACAAAGGGAAACTACACCTACACCCGTGGACGAAGCGCAAAAGGTGGAAAACATTCAGAAATTTATTGCTGATAATGTAACACCAACAGAAAAGTTCACACAAAGCTCGCTGGAAACAGACGAGCAGTCTTACATGGGTGAGGTCACCAAGACGATACGCGTACGCAAAACAAAGACAGTGAAAAAGATCTCGCAAAATCTTGAAGAAACTAGCGCAGCAGAGTTAAGTGCGTCAGCTGCGCAAACAAATGAAACCGAGAGTCAGTTACGCACGCAGCAAAACGCCGAAACACCGGAAGAGAATGGCGGTGGTGTTGTTAAAACTGTAACTGTGCGCAAAACAAGCTTCGTGCGGCGCATACCACAAGATGTCGCTGCGCCCACGGTGAGCGATGAAAGCGCACAATCGGACATAAGTGAGGCAAGCGCGCAGAGCGAAGAGCAACAAAACAAGTCGCCAGTTATTATTGAAGAACCCAGCGAGAGCACAACGACCACAACACAAACAGATGGCGCTATTATCAAAACAACAACAATACGCACAATGCGTCTAAATAAGACAATCGCCTCAGACGGACGTATACTGTTGAAAGAGATCGATAATCCAGATGACGTTATAGTAACCTCTTCAATTGAAATGCCTGACCAGGCAACAATGCCGGGCGAGCGACTCACTGAAGGTGTCGTTGCATTGTCTGAAACTCTCTCAACGGCATATGTACCAACTGAGCGCGCAACAGAAAAATGCCAGCAACCAAGCAGTAATATTGATGAGGTTCAAATGATTGATACACAAGATATAAAGAGTCCTGGCATTAAGGTTGTAGATATTGAAACGAAAGAATTGTCAAATGTTGAGGAACAGCGGCGACAAGGTTTAGATAGACATGCAACAGCTGCAACCACAGAGAGTACGCATATCTCGAGCACCAGCACCACGAACACGACAGTCACTAATACACACACAGAAATTACACAAAGTGAGCAACAGTCCACTAATTCCACGACAACCGTGACGAAACGCACAAGACTCACGACCATACAACGACCGAGTTTCGAAACACAAGATGGCGAACCGCTACAGTTGGTTGGCGAGAGCTATGATACGCCACTCAAATCGGGTGAAATTCGCAAGATTGCGCTCATAACGCACGAAGAGAAATATAAAGAGCCTAAAATGAAAATGCATTTCGATTTCCCTAAAGTTAGTCTACAGGTTACAGAGACCCTAACAGAACAGCGCGAAAATACTGAGAATGTGACGCAAGAACAACAATTTGTAGAAGAGCTTGTAAGTCAACAGCACCAAACCGAAAGTACAGATGTTGTTATAGAAAAGGTCACTGCAGAACAGTTGACAGAAAAGAACTTAGCAGAAAAGTTGGTTACCGAGGTTATCAAAGAGGTTGCCTCAGATATAGTTAATAGCGTAGCACCGACACTCGTGGCAGTGCCCACAATACCAGCTAGAGAGAAGGTAGCTGAGGTAGAACAGTTAGAAAAGTTAGTTGAGCAGGAAACTCAAGCTGAAAAGATAGATTTAGACACAGAAAAGGTAACAGAGGAGCAGGTTGCCAGGCAGTTCGTAACGGAGAAGCATGAAGTAGTTGAGCATACTCTACGAAACAACGAGGAACAGATAACGGTCAATAATATTACTGTTACCGAAGAGGTTGAAAAGTCACCACAACCCAAACCCGTAGTAGTAGCTCCAGCTCCTGATTTCACGGCCGATTTGACCGCAGAAGAGCAAGAATTGTTTGAAGACATAAAGAAGAAACTCTCAAAGAAAGATAAAAAGAAGCGACCAGCGCTTCCAGAGGACTTTTTCAAACAGCAAGAAGTAGTTGAAAGTAGTGAAAAGTTGATAAGCGAGGAACGTTTAGCCAGCGCAACTAATGAGTTAGAGTTGAAAACCACTGAAAATATTGTTAGAGACGTGCCGGTTGTTTCAGAAACACCACGGGAGGTTGCTGCTCCGGCACAAAAACCGCTAGAAGAATTGGCTGAAATACAACAGCAAAAGATTAGGGAAATAAATGAGGCTGACGCGCGCTATCATGAATTAATTGAACGCGAAGAATTCGTTATTGATTCGCAAGTAGAAATCATCAACGAACCTAGAGTTGAAGAAGAAGTGCAAAGCGTACAAGAAATAACCGAATTGCCTGAAGTTAACGCAGAACCCACTAACATTGCTAATGCTAATGAAATACCTACCGCTAAACCTGCAAACGATTTAGTTGAGGAGCTCAGCGCAGCTCCCAATCTATCTTCTTCATTAACTTGCTTTGAGGTGCCTAAATATAATTTAACCGAGTTGCAATTAGCCGAAAAGAGTTATATTGAAGTGAGTAACAAACACCCTGAACCAAAAATAGTAGACGCTATACCCCAGAACGAAGAACAGACACCAGTTAGCGATGCACAGGTTAGGTCGCCAAGTGAGAGTATAAGTGAAACTTATTATGAAATACCCAAATACGATGTCCCAGCATTGGCGCAAGCCGAACGCGAATACCAGATTCGATATGCAGCAGTTGATGTGCCCAATGTGGAGATTGCTGTTAAAGAGGTAAGTGAATTAGAAGAAACAGACTTAATTAAGCAGATTGCAGAGTTAGAGTTAGGCGAGCAGAAGCATGAAGAGTTAGTTTCTGAATCCACCTCTTCTACAACGACGATTACAACGTTTACAACGAGTGAAGAGATCTTCAAGGAAAGTACAAGCACCGAAGTGGAGAAGAAAGAAACCACCAGCGAAATCGTTGACATCGCCGAAGAGCCCAAACAAATAACCGTAGTTAATGAACAGAAATCAGTCGAAACGACTAAAATTACGGCACCCACAACTTCTACCGCCAGCACAGTTGCAGCCGCCACAGACCTCATTACTTCGTCTAGCACTGTACTCAACTATCTTAACTTTGAAGTCCCGAAATACAACTTGGAGGCCATTAAATTGGCAGAAAAATTATTTGAGGAAACTGTTGTCAAGCGAAGCGCTGCAAAAGAAAATGAATTAACAGAGTCCCAAACTACAAAGGTTGAAGAGGTACCTCCTCAGCCAATTGTTAGTGAAACACCGCCAGAAAAAACTACACTCGCGACACAACCAGCTTACTACAACTTTGAAGTTCCCAAATATGACCATAACGTCTTGCACAATGCTGAGCAATTGATAACGCTGCTACAAGAGACGTCGATTGCCGAACCAGAAGCAGAATTAGTTCCGGAAGTTTCAGTCGAAACCAAGGAAACAGAAACTAAATCCATAGTGACAGAAGAATCGATCACCGTGAACGAAACCGTGTCTCGAACTTCTTCAACAACAACAACGACAACCACCACAACTACTGTTACTGCTGAAACTGTGGAAAATGAGGCGCCAGAGCCAAAACCATTAGATGAAGCTGCGGTAGTTATTGAAGAAGCGCCAGCTGAGAAGGTTGAAGAAGTGAAGACAGCCGAAAGCCCCGTTGAAGAAGTCGTGCAGGTTCAAACTGTGGTTGAGATACCTGTCGTGCCTGTTAAAGAAGAGCCAAAGAAACCTGCTTACGCCGGTCTCCCAATCGATGAGTCCTCGTCTACATGGATGGACGTAATCGATGAACCCATGGTTTTCTCCGACGACGAAGAGACTCCTGAAGAGCCTGCTTTCCAAACTACCTCAACAACTACAACCGTTAAAGCCGAAACACTGGAGACTAATGCACCAGAGTCGAAACCGATTGAAGAAACTCCGGTTGCTATTGAAATCACCCCTGTTGAGAAGCTTGAAGAAGTCAAGCCAGAAGCGCCAGTTGAGGAGGTTGAAGAAGTCAAGACAGCCGAAAGCCCCGTTGAAGAAGCCGTGCAGGTTCAAACTGTGGATGAGATACCTGTCGTGCCTGTTAAGGAAGAGCCAAAGAAACCTGCTTACGCCGGTCTTCCAATCGATGAATCCTCGTCTACATGGATGGACGTAATCGATGAACCCATGGTTTTCTCCGACGACGAAGAGACTCCTGAAGAGCCTGCTTTCCAAACTACCTCAACAACTACAACCGTTATAACCGAAACAGTGAAGACTAATGCACCAGAGTCGGAACCGATTGAAGAAACTCTGGTTGCTATTGAAACCACCCCTGTTGAGAAGCTTGAAGAAGCCAAGCCAGAAGCTCCAGCTGAGCAGATTGAAGGAGTCGAGCAGGTAGCGAAACCTGTCGAGCCCGCGAAGGAAGAGCCAAAGAAACCTGCTTATGCCGGTCTTCCAATCGACGAATCCTCGTCTACATGGATGGACGTAATCGATGAACCCATGGTCTTCTCTGACGAAGAGGAGACGCTCGAAGCTCTTATCTCCCAAACTACCGTGACCACCACCACCGTTACAACTGTTGCTACCGAAACAATGGAGTCTAAGACTCCAGATTCGAGAACTGTAGAGGAAGTTCCGATTGTGATTGAGAAGGTTGAAGAAGTCAAGCCAGTAGAAGCTCCTGTGAAAGAAGTGGTGGAGGTTCAAACTGTGGTTGATAAACCTGTTGAGCCTGTCAAGGAAGAACCAAAGAAACCTGCGTACGCTGGTCTTCCAATTGATGAATCCTCTTCTACATGGATGGATGTTATCGATGAGCCCATGGTCTTCTCAGACGAAGAAGAAGAAGCGAAACCTCAAGGAACTGCTACCCATACTATAACATCTGCTATTACTACTGTTCTTACTGAGATCATAGAAAATGCCCCTGCCTCGAAACCAGTGGATGAAGTTTTGAAAGAGTTGGAAGAAAAGTCAGTCGAGAGGGTTGAAGGTGTTCCACCTATGAAGCCTTTGGTAGAGACAGTTGAAGAGAAGCCAAAGAAACAAAAGGTTGTGACTTTTCTTGATGATGTTTCCACAGTACAGACCCACGAACAAAATATCCTAACTAATTTGGAAATCAATCCAATCGACAATTTTGCACCCTACGAGGACGTGCAACTCGCACCAGAAGTGGTGGGATTTCCCGTAGACCACTTTGCCGAAGACATCAACATTCGCGAATCTGACTTGCTCGTTATGCCAAAATGGTCTGACGGCAAACCGCTTCAGGAAGAAAAAACGGTTATCGATACTTGGTCGAGTGTATTGGAAGACACAACTCCAGTTTCGCCGAATATTGCCTTGACTTCAAAGCTTTCACCCAATGCGCCTGAATTCACACCTTCTTATCTCCGTCAAACAGATACGGATCAAAATGCGCTGTTCTTAGAGAGTGAGAGAAGTCTTCATACCTTTGCGCCGGTACCAAAACAACATGAGAAGCCGCAGAAAAAATCGAAGCAACAAAAGAGAGAGGAGAAGTCTGTAGAGGAAAAACCAATAGAAAGACCATCGCAATTAAATGTTGATGCGCCTGTCTTCAAAGTGTCCGAGGAGAAAAGGGACTCAAGCGCATCAAGAGGTCTGTCGTATGCCGATGTTGTATTTGGTGACCATTCGCCTGTAGAGGAAACGAACACGACTGGTGTTGTTAGTGAGATTAAGAAACCACTTCCTGAAAAGCATGTAGAGCGGGAGACTGTCGCCGCCGAACAGGTAAAGCAAAAAGAAACGAAGGAAGACACTAAACAAAAGAAAACAAAGAAGGATAAACGTAAAGTCGAAAAGGTTGTAAAGTTGACTGAGCAGCCAACGGAAGCAGAGTCAGAAAAGGCACCTGAAGATACACAAAAGACATCAGAAAAGACTGAGGAGCAGCAACCAGTTCTACCTGTAGAAAGTGAAGCCCCTAAGACTGAATCGGAAAGTACACATGCACCACTAATGTCATGGTCTTCGATCGTAAAGAAACCCGGTGAGTGGGTAGACGATATAGTTAGCAAAACCAAGAAAGTATTTGCTGAAGGTGAGAAAAAACCAGCAGCCACCGAAAGAAAGCCTGAGAAAGAAAGCCGAAAAGAAAAGCCCACACAACCAGAAAAGGAACGTAAACCTAAAAAATCCAAGAAACAGAAGCCGAGAGAAGACCTTGAAATGCCAACAGAAGAACTGGTGCCTACGTTTATTAAATCAGAAGATGTTCCATCAACTGAAAGCGATGAGTCTGATGGTTTAAAAGAAAATGGTCAAAGTCCAGCGGCATCTGAAGGTGAGCCACAACACGTAGCCGAGGCAACAACTGCTTCTGACAGTAGCACACCAACCAAACCTGAAAGCGGCATCGTGTCTTGGGCATCATTAGTCAGCAGGCCTGGTGAATGGATAGATGAAACTATTTCAAAACATAAAGCACCGGCAGAACCAATACATAAGACGGAAAAGGCAAAACCTAATAAAACAAAGGAAAAGAAAACTAAAACTAAACAGAAGCCCGAGAAACATGAAAAACCGGAGAAGGTTGAGAAATATGCCAAAATAGGAAAACAGGAAACTCACTCAGAGCTAACAGTCGAGTCTCACGTGGAGGTAACAACCGAGATCTCCGAGGATCTTGAAGAACGCGAACAAAAGATTGTAAAAGAAGAGCAAAGATTTGTGATCGAAACGCAAGAACCAGAAGAAGTGACAGAAAAGCCTCAAGGCTTCTCCTGGGCTGCTCTAGTAAAGCGACCTGGTGAATGGGTTGACGATATTAAAGAGCGCAAAAAACCAGAAAAGTCACCAGAACCCGTTAGTCAAGTGCCAGCCGCGAAACCAGAACACCCCAAGAAACAAAAAGTTCCAGCCAAAAAAGTTAAGGAACCTTCGAGAGTTACAAAAGAGAAATTCAGAAAAGAAGTATCTGCAACTACAACTTCAGACAGTGACTCAGACAAACAAGATATACAACCCGCTGCCGAGTCCAACAGTTTAACTTGGGCTAAAATTGCAAGCCAACGAGATGTTACACCCGTTCGAAAAGAAGCTGAGAAGAAGAAAGAAGTCATTAAGCCTAAGGAAACTAAACTAACCAAGGAAACCTCTCAAGCCAAAGAAGTATTAGCACCCAAACCACCCAAGAGAGAAGTTAAGCATTTGGAAGATGAATTGTTCCCCGAACCGACTCCGCTACCCAAAATGTCATGGGCTTCGATTGTTAGTCAAACCACTACAGATTTTATTACTAACGAAAGAAGCAGACCGGCTCCAAAACAGGAAAAAGCCAAACCATTACCTGAAAATCCTAAAAAAATTGAGAGAGTCGAAAAGAAAATCGTCGAGGAACCCACCCATATTGCAGAACAAAGGCAAACTTTGGATGACTTCGAATGGAGTAATATTTCCGAAACAGCAATTTCCACAACAGAAGCATTCGACGAAAATGACTACGTACCGCACGAGCCAAAATCTTGGCGAGATTTGATAGATGAAGATGAAGATATATTCTCTGAGCACATTCCCGATGCTCTTCCTTCATTGGAAATCAAAGTACAATCCGAGCAAGTGGAAACATCAAGAAATGAACCGTACGTTTCCGATAGTAAAAAAATTACCGATATTTCTACTGACGCTACACAAACATTGGAGACTGCGACACCGGAGTTACAACCAACGAAAGAAGCTCTAGTAGCGACTTCAGACTCCGCTCTCAAGAAGGTTGAAGATTTTAAGCCAGTCCAAACTTCTGTGAAAGAAGTCTTAGATATTCAAATTATGGTTGATAAACCTGTCGAGCCTGTCAAGGAAGAATCACAGAAATCTGCTTACGCTGGTCTTCCAATTGATGAATCCTCTTCTACGTGGAAGGACGTGATCGATGAACCCATGGTCTTCTCAGACGAAAAGGAGACGCCCGAAGCACAAGTCTCCCAAACTATCTCGACCACCACCACCGTTACAACTGTTGTTACCGAAACAATGGAGACTAGGACTCCAGAGTCGAGACCTATAGAGGAAGTTGCGATTGTGATTGAAGAAACCCCAATTGAGAAGGTTGAAGAAGTCAAGCCAGTAGAAACTCCTGTGAAAGTAGTGGTGGATGTTCAAACTGTGGTTGATAAATCGGCCGAGCCTGTTAAGGAAGAAACAGAGAAACCTGCTGAGATTGTGATTGAAGAAACCCCAATTGAGAAGGTTGAAGAAGTCAAGCCAGGAGAAACTCCTGTGAAAGTAGTGGTGGATGTTCAACCTGCGGTTGATAAATGTTTCGAGCCTGTCAAGGAAGAACCAAAGAAACCTGCTTACGCTGGTCTTCCAATTGATGAATCCTCTTCTACATGGATGGATGTTATCGATGAGCCCATGGTCTTCTCAGACGATGAGGAGACGCCGGAAGCAACTGTCTCCCAAAATACCTCGCAGACCACCATCGTTACTACTGTTGTTACCGAAACAAAGGAGACTAAGACTGCAGGGTCGAGTCCTGTAGAGGAAGCTCCGATTATCATTGAACAAACCTTAATTGAGAAGGTTGAAGAAGTCAAGCCAGTAGATACTCCTGTGAAAGAAGTGGTGGACGTTCAAAGTGTGGTTGATAAGCCTATTGAGTCTGTCAAGGAAGAACCAAAGAAACCTGCTTACGCTGGTCTTCCAATTGATGAATCCTCCTCTACATGGATGGACGTAATCGATGAACCCATGGTCTTCTCTGACGAAGAGGAGACGCCCGAAGCACCTGCTTCCCAAACTCTTTCGACCACCACCACCATTACCACTGTTGTTACTGAATCTTTGGAAAGTAATGAGGAAGTTAATAAAAAAATAGAAGTTTCAATAGCCGTTGGAGAGGAACCAGTGGAAAAAGTCGAAAATGTCACACCAGTAGCAGACCAGTCTCCTGAAAAGACAGAAGAAGTATCAGCTGTTAAACTTTCGTCATGGGCCGATATTGTGTCTGAAACTCAAGAGCAAGAGCAACCTGTGATAGAGAAAGAAAAAGTGAAGAAGAAGAAGTCCAAAAAGGAAAAGAATACGGAAGAGAAACCGAAACAAAAGCGTGCACATGAAAGTGTAGTATTCATTGAGCAAGAAAAGCAGCATTCTTTACCGACGGCTAGCAAACCAGACATAAAACCTACACCTAAAGACCTTCCCGAGGTCAGGCCGGCAACTTTGCCATCTATGTCGTGGTCGGACATAGTTAAGCACAATAATCAAGATGGTGCAAGGCAAGATACCGTCATTGAAAAGAAAAAGGGAGAAGTGGTACCTGGAAAGACTGAGACTAACATTGAAGGGCTTAAAGTAACAACAGTAGAGGAAAGAGATATCCACAAAGTGGAAGAAGCATCTACCAAGCCTGTAGAAGAAAATAAAACGAAAGAAAAAGCAAAGAAACCAAAAATTAAGAAGGCAAAACCAGAGGAATATCCCAAAGAGCCTGAAATCGTGGAGCTAATATCAGAGCACGTTCCTGATATTGAGCAACCGACCGCCACGGCTTTGCCCTGGTCTGTTATTGTCAGTCAAAATGTGGTTGAAGTGCCGATTTCAAGTATTGAAGAAATAACCGAAATCGTTGAACAAAGAAATGGACCCGCTAGGCAAACTGGCCTTGATATTAAAAATCTTACAGGTGTGGAGCCAGCGCATCATAAGCCGAGTAAAAAACAAATTCATGATTTTATTGGACATGAAATTCAGCACTCGGAGATTTCTCGAGTAAGACCAAGGAAAGAGAAAACACAAAAAACAATACCTCTTGCAGAAGAAAATGTGTCTGAGCTTGTTGTTGAAGCACTAACAGCAGATGAGGAAACACCAGAAGTAACCCTGTCCTGGTCAGATATAGTAAACGAGGAACAAGAAGAAGAATTCGCCCCACAACCAGTTGCTGTACCAACCAATTCGACAATAACCATCGATGTTGTCGAAAACATTGTAGAGACCAAACCTAAACAACAACCGCAAACCGAACCTCTCGAACAAGTCACTGAAGACACCGTAGGAGATAAACCAGAACCAACGCCGCCTAAGGAAAAGAAAGAGAAATCTAAGAAACAGAAACATAACAAAGAAAAACAGACAACTCAAACACATGCCGAACCAGAAAAGCCGAAAGGGCCTGTGAAGGATGAAGTTACTGAAGTCACACCCGCACACGAGGAACCCGTTGAAGTGCAAAAGCCTGTCGCACCACCCTCAGTCTGGTCTAGATCTGAAACATATGCTGAAGTAGTTAGAAAGTCTGGTTTGACGGAAAAATCCAATATTCGTTACCAAGAGCCCGAGGATGAAAAATCCGTTATTGAGGTGAAAACAGCTGAAATTGAGAGACCAACTTTAGACCAACACGCACCGCTAACTTCGGAAGAATTTTCAGAAGAAAATGTAGTAATTAATGAGACAGAAAGGGAACCGGAACCAGTTGTTGAAGAAGCTGAGGAAACTTTAGTTGCAACATCTGACATTGCAGAGCACAAATCTATTGTGGAAAACACTCCAATGAAAGAAACCCCACAACAATCTACTGAGACTGAACAAGAAGTGGTAGATTCAGAACTACCCATAGGAACTACCGCGCTCTCATGGAAGGAAATGATTGAAAGCGAAGATATTGAGGAAGTGCTACCCGAAACCACCACTTGGGCATCCGAAATGACCTGGAAGGAGATTATGGAGGATGAGAGTAAACACTCCACTGAGCCAGGAACCTCATCTTGGGCCTCCATTGTTCGAAGTTTCGCACCACAGGCGCCGGAAGAACAGTTGTATGGCACTCAAGAACACAAAACCATAACCGAAACAACAAGAACATCACGCATAACCGAACGTCCAATTATAGAAGTAACAGAAGTACCGGCTGCAGCTGAAGAAACTCCGCAAACGCGAGATGGTGAAGGATTCCTGGAAGCCATTTCCAAGAAAGAAAAACGACGAAGACGTTCACGTTCGCGTTCACAGCAATCCGTACAAGAGGAAATACCAGCACCACGTGCCAAGAAATCTGAAAAGACGAAGAAAGAAAAGCACGGCAAACGTGTTCCACGAGACCAGAATGCAGAAGTATCCAAAGAAGTAACTACAGAAACTACTGTAGTACAAGAAAAACCGGTGGTAGATGTAGTTGAAGAAGAAAAGGCTGAACCAACATCGCCACCGCAACCACCACAAAGAGCTGTTACGCCTGTTACAATTGGATTGTCTTGGGCCGCAGTTGCTGCACAGAATGTTCCAGAACCTCAACAACAGATACGTCCACTTTATGAAGAACCACCAACGGAAACCGAAATTGATTACAATGTTGATGAGACTCTTCCCCTGCGAACACCTATAACTTTGGAACCAGAAAAGAAAGAGAAAACTAAAAAACCAAAAAAGAAGAAGATGAAGAAGCACGAGGAAATTATCGATACAGATAAATCAACCGTCGAGTTGTTCGTAGATACAACTGAAAACACAAATGAAATAACAACTCAGTCAACTACCTCTGATGCTTTCGTCTGTCAGACTTCGTATTGGTCTGCTAAACTGAAGCCGCGATCAAAAACTACTACTACAGAAAATGAAACTGAGCTTACTCTAGACATTCCCGATAAGGAAGAAGTGGTCTTAGAAAGCACAACAGCTACGGAAGAGGTCTATGTGCAATCACCAACAGCTCAACCCACTACTTGGTCGGCACTTATACAAACTGACTCAACAGTATTCCCAGAACCCATCGGGAATTTACAACAGCCACAAGAAACGGTTCCTTGGACAACGCTTGTGGTGAGCGAAACAACAGACCTTCAAACACCCAACAGGCATCAAATCACCGACGCCACAACTGATTTCATTAATAATGAGCGCACCTCTGTAGAGAAGCAGAAACCCAAGCAAGTTAAAGGTTTCTCATATGCAGATGTTCTAAAGACTGACGAACTGCCCGCGCAGGTAGTAAAAACAATCTACGAAACGGAACCAGATAATCTGATCACCACTCGAGTAGAGCAAGTTGTAGAAACTAGAGAAAATGCAGAGAAGGTGTCAGCTAAGCCTAACGTTCCTAAAGAGTCTAAAAAGAAAACTAAGGAACCTGCAAAGGTTAGCGAAGCTCTCAAATCTCTCACTGAACAAAGAACGGAATCAGACGTTCTGGCGTTCGCTAAGGAGCCCGAGACCGTTCCAGTGCCTAAAGAAATTGTAAAGAAATCAGAGAAGGTTGTGGAAGTGACAGAAACAAGGACAACAATTGAAACCACAGAACCTGAAATTGTCGAAGTAGGAGTAAAATCTGAGGATCCGCAAGAGTCTGAAGAAATTGTAGAAGAATCAACAAAGGAAACAACTGTGACAGAGACACCTAAAGAAGCAATCGAGGTAAGAAAACCTGTGATTAAGAAATCTTTCGAGCCAGTTAAAGAAGAACCAAAGAAATCTGCTTACGCTGGTCTTCCAATTGATGAATCCTCGTCCACATGGATGGATGTAATCGACGAACCCATGGTCTTCTCAGACGAAGAGGAGACGCCTGACATTACCTCGACAACTACCACTATTACTACGGTTGTTCCAGAGAGGAAGCCAGTAGAAGAAGTTCCGGTAGTGATTGAAGAAACTCCAGTTGATAAAGTTGAAAGAGTCGAGCCAGTCGAAACTCCTGTGAAAGAAGTCGTCCAGGTTCAAACTGTGCTTGAGAGATCAGCCGAGATAGTAAAGGAAGAACCAAAGAAACCTGCTTACGCTGGTCTTCCAATTGATGAATCCTCGTCCACATGGATGGATGTAATTGATGAACCTATGGTATTCTCTGACGAAGAGGAGGAGCCTAAAACGCCTGTCTTCCAAACTTCATCAACCACTACCACTACTACAACTGTTACTACCGAGACATTAGAAACTAAGATTTCTGAGTCGAAACCAGTTGAGAAAATTCAAGAAGTCGAAACAGTCGAAGCTCCTGTGAAAGAAGTGGTCCTGGTTCAAACTGTGATTGAGAAATCTGTCGAGCCAGTTGAGGAAGAACCAAAGAAATCTGCTTACGCTGGTCTTCCAATTGATGAATCCTCATCCACATGGATGGATGTAATCGATGAACCTATGGTATTCTCAGACGAAGAGGAGACGCCTGACATTACCTCGACAGCTACCACTATTACTACGGTTGTTACCAAAATATTGGAGACTAAGACTCCAGAGAGGAAGCCAGTAAAAGAAGTTCCGGTAGTGATTGAAGAAACTCCAGTTGATAAGGTTGAAAGAGTCGAGCCAGTCGAAACTCCTGTGGAAGAAGTCGTCCAGGTTCAAACTGTGATTGAAAAATCTGTCGAGCCAGTAAAGGAAGAACCAAAGAAATCTGCTTACGCTGGTCTTCCAATTGATGAATCCTCTTCTACCTGGATGGATGTAATAGACGAACCGATGGTCCTTTCCGACGATGAAGAAGAGGCACCTGAAATATGTGAACTGATTAAAGAAGCCGTTCAACCAACACCAACAGCTCGTGAGCTCACTCCAGATTTCCTTACAACAGAAGTATCCATGCAAGTACAACCCTTAAAAGCTGCTGAAACATTTGAGAAGGAGGTCATTGTAAAAGAGCCGGACTCACAGCCTGAGCCAATTAGGGTAGAAGAAACTGTCAAGCAGTCTGAGGCTGTTGAAACATCAAAGGCTATTAAAACCATAATAACGGAATTTAAACAACCTGAAGTTGTGGAAAGTGGAAAATCCTGGGCTATTGAACAAGTTGAAATACCTCAACCGATAGCAACAAGCCGTGATCTCACACAAGACTTCCTCGCAACAGAAATATCCAAGCAGGAGAGAGTACAACCGGTAAAGGTGGCTGAACCTAAAAATATTGTGCAAGTTATAGAAACAGTTGACCTCGTTGATGTGATTAAAGAAATTGAACCAGCTAAGGACCCAGAAACTGTTGCAGAAAAAGAGCCTGTTAAAGCACACGAAGGTGTGAAGTATACTGAAGCAACTGAGCCTTCTCAAGAAATTCAGGAATTGGTGGATGAAACCAGTAAACTCTACGAAGTGATAGCAACAACAACCATCGAAACTACGCTTACTGAAGAGCAATCAGCTGCTTCGGCTCCGTTCATACCAGAGGAGGTGGTAACAGAAACTACGCATATTGAGAATAATATACCAGAACCAATTAGTACCACGCTCGCAGAGCAAGTTCTAGGATTTATCGAAGGCGAGCGCGTAGCTTTAGCAACTCAAGTTGAGGAAAGCCCTCAAAAGGTTCATGAAGATGTAGTTGAGGATATTAATATTGAACAAGTGGTAGGTGAATATGTAGTTATTGAACCCAGTGAGCTCTCTATAATAGACAGTGAAATTTTGAGAGAGAATTTACATTTAGATAGCAACACGTTCTTGCGTCCAAATTATGAAGAGTTTGAGTACAAATACGAACAGATTTTAGATGAAGAAAGGTCAAAATTAAGTGAGCCTGCCAAAACAGAGGAGGCAATTTTTGTTGAGTCTCCTAAATCCGTTGAGCCTGCCGAGCAGCCTGCTCAGCTCGTTATCAGTGAAGTTAGTACAGCAACCAATAATCTTTTGACAGATACACTCTTGCTTAACCTCAGTAGCGATACCTTTATACGAGAAGTTAACAGTTATACTCAACTAACACAATACGAACGTTGGTGGACTCACTTCATTGCGTCCATCACCTCACAAACGGAACGTGTCGAAAAGACTGAAACTATAACGGTCAAATCAGAGCAAACAGAAACCGTTATAGAACCAATTGATAAGCATAGCACACAAAAGACTGAAGAACCCACATCAACAAACAAACAAATCATTCCCACTGAGCAATCACAAACGCCAACAACAACAACTGACTCCGATCTTGATACACTGCGTAGGAATTTGTATATGGATGTGTGGCATGCCGACACCGCCAGCGAATTATCAGTAGTGTTAGGAGCCGAATCAGTTGTGGAAAATGTGATCTCGGTAACCGAAGAAGTGACATACACGAGAGACAAAGACGAACAAGCGGAAAAGCAAACAGAAGAAATAGCTCGTACTGAAGTCAAACCGGAATTGGCTGAGGAGCTAGTCGAAGAAGTACAAAATGAACAAATCAAAGACGAGGTTTCAAAAGAGAAAGACAAAGAAGACGACGACGACGACAACGACGACAACGAAGACGAGGACGAAGAAGATATTGACATTACCAAAACGGAGCGTGACTTCGATGAACACAAACGCGATGACCGCGATCCGGGTAGTGGTAGTAGCGGCAATGTTACGCCCACACCAGATGCCGACAATGGTAATGCGTATAACACGAATCAAAGCTGTTCCTCACAATACATGTCTACCGATTTGCCAGGTGGTGTAGGACACTGGCGTGATCAAAGCACATATCTAGCTTTGGATGTCGCCGAGAGTGTCAAACCCAATCTTGTGACGGCGAGTACTTTCGAGGTACCCGTACCAGTAACTGTCGTAGTTGAACCCAAATCAGAAATCGAATTTGTGCACTCAGAAACGCCGCTTGAGTTACTAACCGAAACTAAAACGCAAATAGAACTAACTAACACAATTGCTGCCGACACAGAGACAGCAACTGCAATATCGCAAACACCCGAAATTGTAGGCGCTCCTATAAAAACTCACGAACTTCCCATGCAATCCAGTCCTGCCCCAACATCAACTCCCATCCCCATCCCAATCCATACATCAACTGAATCCCACACATCCACACAGTCCACATTCGTTTCTCATCCTGAAAATGTACCCGCTACTACTACTACTACTACTACTACTACTCTTGCCACTGTTGTTGAGCCCTCGGACTCTACAACAAGTAAGATAACACAATTGGCTGGCGCCATTATTAATACCGTTAATGTGGCAACTAACGCAACGAGTACGTCAATAACGGCGACAAAAGAGGCAGCTGCCGCTGTACTCGCGCCCATCGTAACGTCAATCATCGATAAGGCAACAACACCAGCGGTAACAGAGGAAAAGACAACAGTCGAGAAAGTAGCTGAAACAGATACCGCCTCAGTGGTACCAGCCACTGGAACGTTAACGGCTGTTGCGTCTGAGCCGCCTAAAACAGCGGTGTCTCTTGAAACAACAACAACAACAGCAACAACCACTGAGACTGATACTCCCGCCTCTAGCGTGTTCCAAAACATTGCGACAACACCCGTCGCTTTACCTCTGACAACAACACAAACAACGACAACAACAACAACTGTTAGCGATGAACTCTACCGTCCAGAGTTTGTTGTGCAGCCGCAGTCGAGTGTGATTAAGCGTACGACAACGACAACAACAATCACGACAACAACAACTGGCGAGGGTTTGCAACGCCAGCAACAGCAACAACAGCAACAACAACAACAGCAGCAGGTGATGATCACGTTGAGTCTACGTACATTTATTTTGATTATGTTTGCAGCTTTTCTGTGTGGTTTTGGTATATGTTTATGGCTATTAAATGGCTATGATTGCCTGTGAGATAATATATAAAATAACAACAAAAAACAACAACAGCAACATCAAATTAACTAAAAACAAAACTTAACAATTTCCTTCTTTCCTCTAAAAATTTTGAGTTGCCAATCGACATACATACATAACTGCATATAAACCATACATATCTACTTACTACGTATATACTTACATACATAAATACATACACCTTAATTATCAGCGGCATGTAGCACCGTAAATAAATAAACAAACAAACAAACAAAAAATTAATAATATTAATTTACATAGAAAAGATTCATGAAATAATTGTAACAAACAAGGAAATCAATACACAAACAACAACAAATTTATGTTATCTTACAAAAAAAAAAAAAGTATACCTAATATGCATTCATATATGTGCATTATTTATTGTACATTTTTGTTTTTTATTAAAGAAAATATAATATATATATGTACATACATATGTACAAAAAATATTAGACATTTTGCTTGCTTAGCCGTTTACCATTGCTGTGGCATATCAGAATTTGTTCCTTACTATTCAATGCATAAATAATTTAAATATTCCTTTATAAATATAGTACGTGCATATATATATATATATATATAGTTACAATTGTATTTCCACTTGAGACATATCAGACTCAAGTAATGATGTATTTAATACACAAACATATTTATTTCAAAGCTAGTTTATTGATCCTTGTGCCTTAATATACACGTATTTACATACATACTGACTGACATACAAACATAATATAAGAGACGCTAAAATATCTAAAAATATTTTAAATTTCATTGAAAGATAACTAATATTCAATTAAATATTTTTTAATTTGAATTGATATTTTATAAAAAAATTTTCCTTTAAAATTCACAAAACTTTTGTAAAATTCTTATTCTAAATTTTAATTAATTTTAATTTTAAATCTAAATTTAATAATGGTCAATTTTAGTTTTTTTAGAACACAAGTTAATTTAAAGTCTAAAAAAAAACACAGTTTAAATTTTATTCTAAAAAAATACAATTTATTTTTTTTTTGTTTTATATTAATTTATTGGTTAATTTTTTTTTTATTAAATTTGCAATATTTTTTTTTAATCTACACGTGTTTTAAATTTTAATTTTTATGTTAATTAAAGTTTTTAAATTTTAATTAAGCTGAAAATTAAAATATATTTTGTTTTTAATTTAATACTTTTAGGTATAATTTTGTGTTTCGAAGATGTCCAAACTTAATTTCCACAGAATTTTTTAAAAATTTTTATTTGATTTTTTTTTTTAATATTTTAATTTCATTATTATTATGTATTATTTTCCTTTGTCAATAAAAAATATTATAGTTAGTATGTATGTATGCACACTTTTATAAATACGTAGCACAACTTCATCTCAACATTGATACTGTATGTAAAAGTATTTAATTTTAAATTTTCTCTTAATTTAATTTGTAATACTTATTTTATAATTTTTATTTCGCTTAATTGATGTACTGGTAGTATTTATATATATATAATTAATATATAAAAATAAAAATTAAAAAATCAAAACTAACATAAATCTATGCATGCTTTCTTTTATTTTTTCAGTTTTTAATTTATTTAAAATAATACTTTTTTTTCTTTTAAATAGTATATTCATATTTTTTATAACTTTGGCATATATTTTCGGAAATACTAAACAAAAAACACACATGCACAAAATTGGCACTTTAAAAACACAATTTTTGTTTATTTTTCTCTATAGGCAGTTTTGTGTTATTGGTAGCTATTTTCATAAAAAATTAGAGATTTCTTTGGTAGTAAATATTAAAAATAAAATTTATTTTTAGCACAAAAACTTTGTATAGAGTAATCAATTGCGTGTATAAATTGTTTTGTAGGTTTATATATTAAAAAAAAGCAATTCAACAAAAAAATCCAAGCGAGTGTAATTTATTTTACATAAACTTTTTTTAAATTTAAAAAAAAAATTTTTTAACTTTCTTTTAGTTTTCTCTTTCCCGGCAGACTTTTTAACTTAATGAAAGTTGTACAGTCAAAGAAGTGAAAACAATTATTATTGAAAATAGCAAAAAAAAGCTTGTTTTTTCACAATTTTATGCAAAAAAAAAAACAAAAAAAAAATTTTAATTTTAATTTTTTTTTGAAGCCGTTAAAAAATATGTTTTAAATATTCACTCAAAAGCTTTTTATAAAATAGTTCTACTTTAATTTATTAAAAAAGAACAAAAAAGTAATTAAATTACGTTCAAAAACTTTTGTAAATATTATTTACATTTTTTAAAATTTTTTTTTATTCTTCCAATTTTTGTTTGTAGTTTTTCTTTTTTACAGGTAGATTTGTTGTTTTTAGTAAAAGTTGCGTAGTTAGAGGGTTGAATTAAATTTTTTTCTAATATCTTTTTAGAGAAGGTGAAGAATTTTGAAACTCCTGCGACGATGCTATAAACTGTTTGAAACAAACACTTGAAAGTCTTATTTAGAGTGTTTCGAGTTTAATATTTTTTCAATAAATATTTTATGCTAATAGATTTTATTAACAAAACTTTTTTTAGTTATTAAAAAAGTTATTAAAAAACAAAAAATTAAATAAAATTAAGTTGATTGTAGGAATTTTACTTTGTTTATTTATTCCTCACACATCCTTCAATGGTTTGGAAATGTTTTTTTTTTTTATAAAAAAAACTTCTCTTGTTAATTTATTTTTATTAATTTTTTTTTTGCAAAATATATAAAAATATGCAAAAATCATCACAAACCTAAGCAATTATTTATAGTAAAAAAATCAAAATTTAATTTACAAGCATTAAAAATTGCAAAACCGCCATATCTAAAGCTTTTGAAAACTAGTTTTCATCACTTTTTAAATTATAAAAAAAAAAAAATTATTAAAAAAAGTTTAGAAAATTATGAATTGGTCTTCACCAATGATTAGCAAATTTACAAGATACCTTTAATATAAAATTGCACGTCAGAAAAATCTATCACTCTGATTTGATTGCTTAAAAGCTGCTGGAGGGAAAAAAATATTTTTTTATAAAAAAATAACAATTCTAAAAAAAATATAAAATTTGTTTTATAAAGTTTTGTTTTTTAAATAGATTGAAAAAAATTCAAATTTTCATAAAGAGCATACCTTTTGTAAGCAAAATTTTAAATTACTTTCAAAAAAACATTTTTTTTTTAAATGTTAATTCTAAAAAAAATTAAAATATTTATTTTAACCAACCATAAAATATATTTTTTTAAAATCAATTTTTTTCAAAGCAAAATTTGAAATTACTTTAAAAAAATATATATTTTTTATAAAAAAAAATGTTAATTCCCAAAAAAATTATAAAATTTATTTTAACCAACTATAAATATTATAAACTATTTTTTCTAAAAAATAAAACATATTTTTTCTTAGCAAAATTTTTAATTATTTCCAACAAAAAAATGTATTATTCCCTCAAAAAAAGAAAACATTTAACATTAACTTTAACGCACCACAGTTTTCATTAAAGAAAATGATTTTTCTAAAAAATTTCAAAATTTTAACAAAATATAATTTAAAAAAAATTTCCTTGAATTAATGTACAATATTTTTCCAAAATTTTTATAAAAAAAAAATTTTTTGTCTGAAAAAATTGGAAAATTAATTTAAAAAGTTAAAAGAAAAATTGCCTAGAAAAAAATTTTTTACTTAAAATATTATAAAATTAATTTAAACCAATCATAATTTTTATATAAAAAAAATTTTTTTTTTTTAATTTTTTAATACTCAAAAAATTGTCTAATTGTTATTAATAAAATCTAAATCTAACAGTTACCAAAGCTAGGTAGAGGGGTTGATCTCCGCTGCGACCACAGTTATATTGTGACTCTCCAAACTGCCTTAGCGCTTGTAGCCCGTATTATCAAATTCAAAACTTCTCAATATCGCCAAAAGCTCAACTATATTACACGCTTTTAAATGATTACACTGTAAAATTTATTATAAATGCTTTACAGTATTTCCGTGCACAAACCACCAAAACATGAATTTTGAAAACCAATTCCGAATGCGCCATGACCTAATTGGCGCAATTACAATTCCCACCAAAAAAATATGATATCAATTTCTGTAAATAATTTCAGCATCTATTCAGGCAATTAACTAATAAATGCTTACTTAAAAATTCCAATGAGCAATAAAATTACAATATGCAGAAGTAAAGAAATTAAGAAATTAACAAAACGAAAAAAAAACGAAAAATAATGCAATAAAAATGCAAATTTTCATTACTCACTAATGCAATTATACTTTTCGTTTACTTGCCCATTGAATCACACAAATTAAATCATGGTACTTGAGTGCATATAAAATTCTCAGTTTAGCCGTACACAACGCGCCGAGCGACGCGACGACATTGTCAATGAGAATTAACGTTGACATTTCGCTCGTGACTCCCACAATCAATTGGGGAGGAAAAATGGTAGAGAAAATGCTATAAATTGAATAAACTCTTATTTGTTTAAGTAGAATTAAACTATTTACATTACAAATTAGTAAGAGTAAACTCTAGACTTGCAATTTCTGACAGCTGTCGCTGCGTGCGCCTGGGGAGTGGTGCAAAATGCACTAGTTACTTTTAAGAAACAGGCTACCGGAAATTTCGCGGTGCCGTTGTAAGGCTGGCGAATGTGTAACATCTTATAGCACAAATTCATCTTGACTAATGCAAAATACCAAAGAAAAATAGAAATGACTACACAGCTGCTGCCAGCACTAACTTGTCCTGCGCGCCCGCAAATGAAATCAAATCAAAATATGCGCTGCGCGTGTACTCACCGGCCGGCCGGCTAACCAATGTAGTTGCATTTGATTCGCTCATATGTATTGTACATTGGCTCATACTTACATACGTACATTCTGCTGCATTTGCAGTTTGCCAGAGCATCGAAAATAGATTTCCGTTTGGTATGCACTCGACAGTTTTGCAGTAACGCTCGACAAGCGTTGTACGCGTAAGCGGTTTGGCAAATAAGTGCCCGGCTAAGTACCTTACCAAATGTGTGGATTAGTGTGTTAAAAGCAAAGGAATTTCAAAACAGACAGACAACGAAAAAAAAAGATAAAAGTACTTAGATTTGCCATAGTTTCAAAAAAGAAAAGTGCGTGCCAACGCTGTTGTGATGCAAAAAATAATTGAAAATCGATTGTGAAAATTCTAATTTTATTTGCCTTTGGTGGACTGGCACTTACAGAAATAGCAACTGGAGAATTTTTCGCCTGTGTGTACATGCTTAAAGAACTTCATATTTAAATTTTTATTTGTGTATGTACGCGCTTGGATGTACGCGTGTTGGCAAATTTTCAATACTTAAAATACTGTCATTTTTTTGCGGTTGAGTTTTGGTGATTTTTGAGAGTGTTCTTTCAAAAAGTGAGTTATATGGTATGACATATTCTTGCTTGAGCTTCAAATGGTTATTTATGAGCGCTACATGATTGGTTTTTTTGTAGAAAGATAAAGAAATTAAAAATATTCGGCTGTGTCTACTATTGCTAATTAAGTCCCAAAATTGTGTGATACATTTTTTAGTATAACTTTTTTTTGAAGCGCGGCATAATGAAGAAATATTTTTTCCAAAGAATTTAAAGTTTAAATTTTATTTTTTTAAGATTTTAAACAAAACTATTGTTGAAACAATTTTTCTGCAGTGAATAAAAAAATAATTTTTTCTAATTAAAAAAAATAAAGCTTTAAACTAATTTTAATTTTTTTTTCGAAAATTGATTGAAAATTGAAAATTATTTTAATGGGTTTTAAAATTCTCTTGTATATATTAATTTATTATAATACATATCCGAATTGAAAAAATAGACAAAATATTACGAAGATTGATAAAAATTAGTCTACTTTCTAAGAATTACCAAAAATGTCGGGAACAAAATAACTATCGAAAGCTTAAATAAATAATACAAATATGCAAACATATATTTTCACAAATTTAGCAACATCCATTTTTTCGTTCTTTTATTTAAAATATATAATATCTATTATAAGCGAGTGTAGAAAATAGATGAAAAAAATTGATATAAATATTTGGTAATGCTCGGTGGTAGATTATTTTCATTTAAAAATAGTTAAAATAGCCATTTTGTAATGTGAAAATAATAATAATAATAAAAATAAATAATAAATAATAAATAATAAATAATAAATAATAAATAATAATAATAATAATAATAATAATAATAATAATAATAATAATAATAATTATAATTATTATTATTATTATTATTATTATTTCAAAACTTGTAATAATTATAAAAATAAATAATGAACAATAATAATAAAATAAAAATTTATTAGAATAATAAAAATAAACAATAAATAATAATAATACCAATTATAATAACAATTACAATAATAACTACAATAATAATTACAATAACAATTGTAATAATGATAAAATTATAAAAATAATAAGATAATAATAATAATAAAATAATAATAATAAGAATAAACAATAAAAGAAAAAAATAATAATAATAATTACAATAACAATTGTAATAATGATTAAATTATAATTATAATAATAATAATAACAATAATTGTAATATTGTTAGAATTATAATAATAATTATTATAATATTAATAAAAATAATAATAATAATAATAATAATAATAATAATAATAATAATAATAATAATAATAGTAATAATAATAATAATATAATAATAATTTTAATAATATTAATAATAATAATAATAATTATAAAAATAATAATAAAAATAATTATATTAATACTAATAATAATATTATAATAATAATTGTAATAACATTAATAAATATAAAAACAATATTAGCACCTATTTATAAGCAAACTTTTTTTTAAATATTTTTTTGGTGATTTTTAAATTACATTTTTTTAGTTTTTCATAAATATTTGTTTAACCTTATAATTTTTATTCTTATTTAATATTTATATATTCTTTATTTTGTTTATATAAATCTTCTATCAAAATAATTTTTTAATTCTTTTATTAATTGTTCCTTAAGAAATATAATGAAAATTAACTTTTATTGGGATAACTGTAAGCAATTTTTCTTTATTTACTTATATATCTGCTGCATGTTTTAATGTGTGCATCATTTGTAAAAACATACATTCCTATATACATGTAGTAAATATGTACGCATGTCATCTCATCTATACTCGTACATAAATCAAGCATGTCAGAAATGTCTTTCGCCTAAATCTACGGATCAAGAAAAAAAAATACTCACATCCCTTAAACAAAAACTATCAGTTTTAGCGTAAGCATTCTTTCGAAAAGAAACACCTAACATTTCAACAAAATCCGTCATAAATAATTACAAACACCTGCGCCTCCCAACCAAACAGATCATAACTTTCTGTATATATGTATAAATATATAAGCATTTAAATCCCCTTTTCAAAACTATCTACCTACTATTACTTATCCGGCTACCTATATACCTATATATATAATAACTACATACCTACGAAATTCATCGCATAATTCAAAACCTTTATTGAATAAGTGGCAAAAGTAATTGAAGAAAGCGCTTATGTTATATGTAAAAAAATTAAAATGCATTTTTCTACATTTTGTTTGTTTCAAAAAATCAGCTTTCAACTGTTTCCTGTTTGCTATTTTCTATACTTTAAGCACATTTTTTGGGTTTTTTTGCATCAAAAAAAAAAAAAATATATATATATATATAAAAAAAATGTTTATTTTCCTTTTACGCATATTATATTATTGTTTATTGTTCTGTACTATTCCTTTGTACTATTCTTTTTATTTGGCATTGTTTTCATTTTCTCTGTTTCTTATTTGTTTAATGCAAAACTTTAATTCACTTTAAATAATATTTATTTCAATTAACTCACATAATTAATACGAATGTGTTGTAGGAGTTAACGCACGATATCGATGATTTACTGCAATCCCTATCGACGGTCGAAGATGGTATAGGCAATTTGCCCAACGCTAGTTTGGATGGTATGCTGCAAGGATTGAAGGTATGGAAAAAGCATTCAAAACTTATGCAGGCTTACATATGTACAATGGTAATTCTACATATGTATGCATGTATGTATGTAGACTACACACAAATTGTTACACTGTAAGTAAATATAAACTCTTTGCTAATTAAACTTTGGCATTTCTCTTACTCGTATTACTCGTATGTATATAAATAATATATTAATGTAAATGACACTTTATTGCATATAAACCTTAAGCACTACACCTATAACAAACACAAGCATATATTTCGTATATTAAATTTAACACTAAAAAAATTGACTATTGCTATCTTTATTATTTTTCAAAGAAAAAAATTATTTCAATTAGATTCCACACTTTAAGTAATTAACAATTAAGTACTTACATTCTTGAATGCCTATAATTTTGAAAAAGCAAAAAAAAAAAAAACAAAAAAAAATCAAAAAAAAAACAATAAAAACCGATGCCTTGAATGCTGGCGTGTGTCGCTAAAAATCAGTAACACAACCTCATCATTCATATATCGCACATTTTTATTTAATTTATTTTATGATTTTTATTTTTTTTTTTATTTACTTAAATAACTTATTTTCCCAAAATATTTTTTTATTTGATTTTAATAAAGTTTAGGGCAATTTAGATAATTTTTTTAAATTGTAGCACCAATAGCCCGCTATAATGTCCTTAGAGCGTCGTGAGGAAATTTTTAAAATATCTTTAGAATTAACAAAAAATATTGAAATTTTATTTTTCAACATATTTTATTTTTGAAGCACCAAATTATTAAATTCTTGAAACGCTTAATTTGCCTACCGTAAAAGTGATTTTATATCCATAAGTAGTTGGTATCAGACATTATATACTTCAACACTCAAATACTTATTATTATTATTTTTTTTTTAATTTGTATGTAGTAAAATATTGATATTTTATTAAAGTCGTACATACTTTATACTACCATTTACAATATAGAGCTTAAAGGTAGTGTGTAGAAAAAGTAGTATTCAGAAGTCCTAGTAACACGTTAGCTTTGAGAAAATATTGTAGTGTAAGCAATGAACTGTTATATATGCTAAAAGTAGCCGCATAAAACACATTGACACAATTGTTAAAAACTTTAAAAAACCAACAGAAATATGGTTAAGCGTTTTTCTTAATTTGATTATGGTACTTTAAATGTGATATTGTCATTAAATAAATTTTATTACTTAAAAAAAACAAATAAATGGTAAATTATATTAAAGAATATACAAAAAAAATTAAAAAATGTAATAATAGAAAAAATTATAACTTAAAATAATTTTGTGAAAGTTTCAAAAGTGGAAATGATACAGGAAATAAATAAAGTAAAAAATGCAAAAATTTATTTGCCGCAATTACTTTTTTTAAATGTATTATTGCTGAATATTTAAATATTAATTTTTTTGCTGCCAAAATTACTTGAAAAATTATTTTACCACAATATTTCATTTTTTCTTTTAATTTTGAATTCAATAAAAAATTTTCACCATAAATACTTTTCAAGAACGCTGTTTTGTTGCGTTTTTTGGAATGAAAATATTAGATTTTTACAACGAAAATATATTTTAAAATTAAAATATAAAAAAATCAGTACTTTTTTAAAATCATTATTATTTTTTTTTTATATAAATAAATAAATTTTATTTAATAAATAAATTTTTTAAGAAATGAAAAATGCAAAATCTTTTTAAAAGCATTTAATATGCCTTTTTTACCATAATTTAAAAAAAACCTTAAATGGTGAAAATATGTATTTTTTTTTAAAGAATTTTTTAAATTTAAATTTTTTTGTTTACAATTTATTAAAACAAATACTTATTTTAACAATTAAATTTTAATGATTAAATTTTTACTACCAAAAACATTTGCTTAAAAATTATTTTAATATTTCACAAAAATTAAAATATTATATATCTATATAGTTTATTTACAATAATTGAAAATTAGACACAAAAAAAAAACATTTTTAATTACTAAATATTAAATATTAAATTTTAACTACGAAAAATTTTAGTTTGTTTCATTTTATTTATTTATAAAATTGTCTTTATTTTTTTGTTGAATTTCCAAGCGATGAATTAAAAATGCTAAAACTTTATGAAGAACCTTTTCTTGATTTAATTTTTATTTTGAGAGAGTTCAAAAGAAATTCTTTAAATTATAAAAATGTGTAGAAAATTATGTTCGAAAATAATTTTATTAGTACGCTGAATATTGAAAAGTACAATATTTTCCAATGATTTATTCAAAAAGAGAGTTTTAGAAATTTAAATATTAAATTGAAACTAGTAATAGCACTTAAATTATAAATATTTATTTTATTTATTATTATTATGTAAAATATTGATTTAATTTTTAATTTTTTTTTAACTGAAATATTGAAGAAAAATTATTAAAATATTAAAAAAGAAATATATTTTGTTAAGTTTAGAATTGCGGAAAACTACAAAAATACAAATATTAAGTTTTTTTTTTGAATTTTTAAATTTTTACCACTGTTGAAACTTTCTAAGATTTTTTTTATATAAAATTTATCTCAAAGTATTTATAAATATATTATTTAAAACATACAAAATTTTAAATACATACATATATACATATATTAACATTTTCCCACAATAACACCATCCTCTTCATGCAGCTAATCCAAGAGAATCTGGAATACCAAGAGAAGGAAGCCATACGTTTACAAGAAATCAGTCAAACGCTGCCAATCGATCCCGCTACCGAGCGCATACTCAACGAGATCAAAGATCGAATTGATCTATTACTGCGACGCACACAGCAAGGCATTACGATGATAGCGGTAAGTATTATGAAAAATTATTTTTGAAAAATACTTTAAACTAACATTGCTCTCTCTCTCTCTCTATGTGACACTCTGCTCACCCACACAGAACGCCATGCACGGCCAGAAGAAACGTGAAGAGGAACTCAACGAATATCAAATGCATTTGATCGCGCTCCAAGAATGGATTATGGAAGTGTCACAACAACTCAAAGACTTGGAGCCCACGCCCGAAGTTGCCGAAGATGAAGAACAGCTCAAATCACAGGCCGAACGTAGTCAACAATTGTTGCGCACACTCAAAGAGAAGCAGCAATCATTGGAAGAGTTAGTAGAGAAGACACGCCAATTGCAACAACATGACGATGTTGCGCCCATGGCTTGCGATCTTATGGATCAATTGGAGCATATTATCACTTTGCTGCGTGAGCAGATCACCGTAGCCACGACACGCATTTACACAATCGAAAAGACGATTGTTGAGTTGCGTAAGTCTCGACAGGAGGAAGAGCATCGCAAGCGTGTTGCCGCTGAAGCACTCATACAACCGCCTACTAGCGCACCAGTGTCGATTGAATCCAATGCCAGCACCATAGACTCGACACCAATGCCCGAAGAGGAGATTAAGCCTGTCGCTGTACAAGCGCAAGCGGTGGAAACACAAACATCCGCAAGTCTTGCTGCGCCACAACCGAAAGCTGTTGTGGAGACACATACAGTGGAAGCGCAAACCAGTTTGGCTGAGCCCACGGCGCCTTTAGCCCCATTCGTTGAAACCACCGAGACTGCTATGCAAACACAAAAGGAGCGCAAGCCGACAGAGAATATTTTAGTCACCTCAACCATACAAGCCGGGCAGGAGACTATCCAAATTGATACTATACCTAATAAGGAGATACCTGAAGTGCCGGAAGATGTTGAGATCGAGGCGCGTTATCACCAGCAACCGCAAGGTGATGTTGATCGCGCCACTGAACTCGTTTTGAAGAATGTGCCACAGGCATTCGAGACAACCTTTGTCGAACCCGATCAAACCACCACCGAGGTAGTGGTCGATGCTGATGGCACCAAACACATCATCGTGAAGAAGGTGACGCGCACACGCCAACAGGTGGTGCAACATCAGCAAATCAGTTCAATTGCTACAGTTACCGATGCCGACGGCAACATTCAAGTACAGTCTACGGGTCAGTTGAATTTGGAGAATGTGCAAACTGCTGACACCAGTGGTGATGATCAGCGCGGCTATCAGACGGTGGTAACGCAGCAAACACGCGGCACAGTTGTTGATGGCTCCGATCCGAATGCCGTTGTAGTGAAAGAGTTCGAAACAGAGCCGACAATTGAACATTACGAACAGCTTCAACAACCTGAAGGCCAAACTGAAATGATAACCATTACGACTGAGGGTCCGACAACTACGGCTACTCCACAGAGCAGCATACGTGCTGTTGTTCAGCAGGTAACGCGCAAAATTATACGCAAGACGCGTAAAATCATTAAGCGCATTGTCGTAATCGATGGCGTAGAGCATGTCACTGAGGAGGTGGTCGAGGAGCCTGAGGAAATCGAGGTTAGCGAAGAAGATTTAACGCCACAGGTGAACGTGAATATCATACGCACCGTAAATGGCAAAGTGGTGACCGAGGAAGAGTTCGAGCGGCTAACCAGAGAGCCAGGCGTGGTGATTGAAGAGGTATCCTCGGATTTGATGGAACCTCAGCAGCAACCAGCCACGATCACAGCTCCCGGCGAGACTGTACCATTAGAGGCAGTCTCCACGCAGCCGCAACAGGTATTTGAAACTTCCACTATAACTACTACAACAACACAAACACAACCAACAACAACCAGTATTATAACAACTGAAAGAACAACAACAACATCAACAACAGACCAACAAGCACCAGTAGAATTTGTTGATTTGCCCGCACCAAAAGTAGTTGAACAAAGAGTAATTGAAACCGTAGAAACTACTAGTACTAGCCCCGTTAATATTCCAGCGGACTTAAGTACGACATCCCGAGCGGAAATTGTAGTAGTTGAAGAGGAAATTTCACCAAGCGTACAAATAACCCAAGAACCAGCCAAACCCATTGAGGATATTAGTGAGATCTGGCCCAAGAAACATCATCTGGTGCCCACTGATATCGATTTCTCACATCACGTCGACGATATCGTTAAGCCAGAAGCTACAGTTCTAGAAGTGAACTTAGAAAAACCGGTAGAGTCCGTTTGGCCAGTGGACGAGTACACGGGTTACCCAGTTTCCTTGGAAGAATACAAATTCGAAAAACTTGTAGAGTCTAAGCCGCAACCAATAGAAAGTGAACCACAAGTGAAGACATCACTTGCAACTGTGACAACAACCACAACAGTAACTACTGAGCAAATATCTGAGCCAGAGAAAACTCTGGAAGTAATCGAAAGCATAGAAGACTCAGTAACTGCAATACCGGCTGTTGTGATGCCGCAGTTAGCACCATTTAAGGAGCCTGAAATCGTTGAATCGGTTGCAGAAGAAACCACAGTATTATTGCCCGAGGCGCCACAAGTATTAACTACAGCCAGTAAAACTAAAGATGTTCAGGAACCAGCGCCAAAACCACCTGAACCAGCAGTATTAGTGCCAGAGTTACCAATCTCAGAAGTCACAGACCTCGAAAGTGCATCTGTTGTGCGACCAGCCGAACTAGAACTAGAACCAGAGATAGTTACAGAAGTTACCAAAGTAACCACTGATGAATTGATTATAACAGCATCTGCACCCGCACCAGAACCGCATCCTGAATTGGCAGCCGTCCTACAGCCGGCGGACGCTGTTCCTGAAGTGACACCAGGTAGCGAGCATGTCTCCATTACGTCCACCGAAACTGGCACCATCTCGCCGGTAGAAGACAAGCTCTTCCAGCCAGCACCTACTGAGAAATCGCAGATTGACATACGTGCTGCTACACAGCTCTTTATTTCTGGTGAAATGTTAGCAACAGATAGCGATTCACCACGCAAGTCATTCACAATCACTGCACCATCGATTGAGCAAACCGGTAGCGGTGTTCTGAAGGTGGTTCTCACACCTGAAGATGACGTTGATCCCAAACTATTACCACCAAAGGTGAGCATGACTATTGTAGAGACATCCACTGTAACAGAGACCGAGCGTGAAGACACCACATCACGTGGTGATGAGCTGACCCTCACACCCGCTGATGTCAAGCGAAGTCGTAAGAAAAAGAAGAGAAAGGAAGAAGCTGAACCTGAACTTGAACAAAGCGAAGAAGAACCTAAGGTAGAGAAACCTGAGGTGCCAACTACCAGAGTTTCAGTATCCGAAATCGATATTGAATCTCCACGTGAAACTGGCTATGAAGCTGATGATAAAACGGTCGATGATGACGATACAGATGGTGGTAAGAAGAAGCGCAAGAAGAAGAAGAAGCAAAAGGTAAAAGCACGTGAAGACGAAGACTCTCACGTACCCTCATCGGAAGCAACACCGCGTGATGTCGAGTCAGCAAGCTTGGAATCAGAGGGTAAAGTGAAACATGAGGCGATTGCAGAGATTACTCCAGATAGTGCTGCTACTAGCATAGAGACAGATACTTCCGTGAAGATCGTCGAAGAAGCTTTAGTAACACCCGACTCTGATTCACCACGTGAGCATTTTAGGGAAGTGGTCATTCCAACTGAAGTAGTGGAAGTCACTTATGTTGAGGATGAGCAGCAACAAACGACGCCACGAGAGGAGATGCCTGCTCCAGTTCATGAGCAACCCATCACTGAGATTAAATCATCGCAAACTTCTCCCGAGCATAAACCTAAGCAAGAAGAAATTTCCTTACAGACCAGCATTGAAGTGGTGCCCGACAGCCAAGACACTGAAGCGCAGACTGTAACAGTTGAAGTAACGGAAACAGAAATACAAACAACACCACGAGCTGAAGAGCCGGTCTCACAATTGGCACCAGCGCCTAAACAGACTGAGGAAGAAGAAGTTCAAACCGATGTACCTTTCACAGAGCCCGTGTCACAAGTAGAACCGCTGTCTCGGCCAGAAACCGTCGAAATTTCAAGTCAGACAACTGTCGTCACCACGATTGAGAAGGAGCTACAAATCACGCCTAAAGATTCACCCCGTACACCTGAACCCAGCACCACCGAAATTATTCAGCCATTTGTCACCGAGCTGGTTAAGGATTTGACTATTGATCTACCCGCTGAAAAGGTAGAACTTTCCGATCAAGCTATTGGAACCGATCCTAAAGTTACACAAGAGATCTATGTACAGACACTAACTCCTGAGCCCGTGGAGCATGTTCGACCAGCAAGCACACCGGAACCGGTAATTGAAGAATTTATCGAACCGGTGCAGGTGGTGAGGACGCCTTCGGAGCAGCGTGATCAACACACAACAACTTTTGAGTTGACACAATTTGTAGACTCCACCTCGCAGACAACACCACGTCATGAGCCACAACCCGTGGAACAGCCAGCATCTCTTGAACCGGTAACGCTAACGGAAGATATCTCGTCCCCTCTGACATCCCTCTCTGAGCCTTACAATATAGAGATACAAACCTCAGTGGCCATACCGCCGGACACTGACAACTCTGAGCTCGAGCCAATCATATATGAGCACACACAAACAATTGAGCTGCCAAAACGCGATAAAAAGAAGAAAGACAAGAAGAAGAAGAAGCACGCGTCTGCAGATAATCTAGATGATGAAGAATCAGTATCCGAGCAATTGCCTGAGGTTAATGTTAACATTGAAATCTCTAGAGACGTTGTGCCTGAGGCAGGCGTAGTGGTAACAACAACAAGTCAGCATGTGGTTGAACCAGACCAAACAGCCGAAGGCAAGACTACGCCAATTGCGGATAAGAAACCGCAATTGGTGCAGTTACAAATCACTAAAACGACGGTCTACGAAGAGTTTCCCGATCTGCCATTACAAATCAGTGAGCAAAGCAAGGTGAATTTGACGGGTCAACAGACAAACAAACCACGCTCGAGACCCACTTCCTCCGTCATGATTGAAGAGGTTAGCTCGCCAACGGAAGAGATTATTCTTCCCATAACACCTGGACCAAATAACGACGTACCACAAAGTGCAGCAGAAAACATTTGGTTAGCCGCAACAACAGCTATCGGTGTTGACAAGACGCCGAAAAATGCCTCCCAGGCCTTGATAATGTCAGAGACTCTACAACACTACCCTGGCTCGCAAGCGCAACAACAAATGCCGGTAGATGTTTGGGCCGAAACGAAGCAAGTAATTGGCGGACGCATTAGATCGCTGAAAGAGTCCACTCCAGAGCATACTCCACTCAGCAATGTATTGCATTTGGCGACACTCTCCGAGCGTATAAAGGATGTGCCGGTTGAGGTGCGTACACAGGAGGTGAATCAGGGCTTGCATGACTTAGAGCAAGCCGTTAAGCAAGGTGATCGCACAATAATCGAGACGACTGTAATAACTGTGATCGAGAAAGTGTCTACGTGGCTAGAGACTATCGAATATCGCGTGTACTTGATCCGACAAAACTCCGATGAAGGTCCGTCCGAAGAGAAGCTGGATGATTATAACCAACTTAACGACGAACTCGGCACTATCAAGTCGAACGTGAATACGCTTGAAACTCAGCTCGAGAAGGCCGATCATCTGACCGGTCCTGAAGTACAGCAATGCGTCGATGCGCTAAAGGAGCACGTAAATGCAGTTGAGGATGTCACTAAAGACAATCAGGCACAAGACACCAAAGAACTGGAGAAGTGGAATCACTTCGTTGTGTTGATCCACCGTACCACGACCATATTGGAGGAGCTCCAAGAGCGTTACGACACTATCGTGACTCAAGACAACACCTTGAATGGTAAGTTGCGTAACCTCGATGAATTGGAAGCGCAAAACGCCGATGTACAAGGTAGCATCGCCGAGCTCACACAAAGTGCACGCGCCTTCCAGCGTAACTTCCCCGGCAAGAAGGTGCCACAAGACATATACAACTCCTACGAGGTTTGCAAAAATATTGGGAATAATATTATAGCCGAACGCGATCGTCTGCTGCAATTGCAGTCGCTAGGTGAAGAGTACGAGCAGACACTCAAGGAATTTAACAACATCACTGTGCTCGCGGACAAAATGGTTGAGAGCCCTATTATTTCCAGTTCGCTGGAACAGCTTAACAATGAAGTGCAGAAGCATCGCAAATTCTTTGTGAACCTCAGCCATTGTCGTGCAATACTCGAGTCCCTAGAGGAGAATATAGACTCGGAGACGCGTGAGAAACATGCCGAGTTGCACAAAGAACTCTACAACCGTGCGACCGTACTTCTGGAGAAGGCCTCAGAGCGTTCCTCGAAATTAGTGCAGGCAGCTTCACGTTGGACCGTGTTGGAGAAGGGCATGAAGGACGAGCTGCAATGGCTACATGTCGCCCAACAGCGTGTGCCCGATTTATCTGCTGTAACCTCGGCTGATTATGATCAATACACGACACTTTATCAGTCACTCAGCACCGATATCTCACATCACTACCTGAAAATGACACAACTATCGAATATTGCCAACAAACTGCAAGATCTCGTGCAGGCGCCTAATCTGGTTGAGGAGACTAACGAAGCGCTTATTGTACTATTGAAGCTGCGCGAGGAGGTCTCACTCTATCTACATCGCCTACTCGTTTTCAAAGAGATCTGGGCGCAATACGAAAATCAAACGGACAAAATGGAGACTTTCGTGCGCGACGCTGAGAAGGAGCTACGCAAAATACACATACCTGAAGATCCACTCGAACAGCCCATCGAACATATGCGTCAGTTCTGGGAGATGAAAGCGCATTTCGAAATGCACAACAACATACGTAACCTCGCAGGACACAGCTTCGAAAAGGCGCTACAAGTCATACCGCTCGCTGACGAAATGTTACAACGACAATTCCATGCACAACTCGAAGATCGTTGGCACAACATTGCCGGCTCTATCGAGCGCATACAAAATAACATTGTCAGTAGCCTCGCCTCACAAGATGTGCCCGCCGAAGAGAAATTGAAGTTAGTCGAACGTGAATTGCAAGAAATTTACCTCACAATGACCAGCATCAAGGGTGTAATCAAGAACGAAGAGGAACTCTGTCTCTATATTGAACGTATACAAGTACTGCGTACCCGCGTAGGCTTCATTGGCAACGAACTGGGACGTATTGGTCTGCAAGAGCCACCCATTGAACCAGAGAAGGTCGGTGAACTTTTCGCGCTCTCACATAAAATCAACACACAAATCGCCGAAGAGCTCGAGGGTGCTTCGGTGCTGCGTGAACAGTTGCGTGCCATACAAGAGGGCATACAAAATTTGCGCAAACATCAAACAAAACTCTCGGTCATATTGGACGAGTGCGAGAGCGCTGAGAAGCTGAGTAGCGAAGCGATTGAAAAGGCGGTAATCGATTGTCAAGCAGTGGGTGAAGATCTCATCGGCAATTGGCAGGAAATTATGCGTTTACGTCAAATGTTGCACACATTGCCGATGCGCTTGAAGATGTCTGTGTCGCCGGTGAAATTGGAGCGTGACATTTCGCAGCTGCAAGACGATCATGCGTTTTTGGAAAGCAAATGCACAAATATACTCGGCATACTGAGGAATCGTCTTGCGCTCTGGTTGCGCTACGAGCGTCAACTTGAGATGGTGCATGACTCCGTGCAAGAGACCGACTTTATGATGGAACTGCTAAAGGTGCATGGCCAAGTGGACTACGAACGGCTGCGTAAGGCCACCGAGCGGCTAGAGGTAAGTGATGGTGGTTGAAAATGTGAATGGATAGAAAAGTTGTAGGTGGGCGAATGTTAAGAATTTGTATTTGATAAATAATACAATTGAAAAAAGAACTTATACATAGCTTGAGAAGTGAATTATTGATGATATTAAATTTAAATACTTTCCTAGTGTTGTGAAATATTGTATTAGTATGATTTTAGTCAAGTCTTTGTGAAGTTTCGAAATAGTTGATAAACATTTAAAATAAATTAAAACGAAAAAAATCAAAACAAAACGAAATGCAAAAATATTAAATATTATATATGAAATTAGTTAAATTAGCTTAAATACAAGTAAGTTAAATATATATATATATATAAAATAAAATAATATAAAATAAAATAAATTAAAATAAAATAAAATAAAATAAAATAAAATAAAATAAAATAAAATAAAATAAAATAAAATAAAATAAAATAAAATAAAATAAAATAGAATAAAATAGAATAAAATAAAATAAAATAGAATAAAATAAAATAAAATAAAACAAAAGAAAATTATTAAATTAAATTAAATTAAGTAAAATAAATATAATAATATAAATTAATATCTAATAAAATATAGAAAATAAAATAAAATGAAATTATTAAATTGGATTAAATTAAATTTGATAAAGTGATATAAATTATTTTATTTATTATGAATTAATATCAAATAAAATAATAAAATTATTTAATATCAAATAAAATTGAATAAATCAATATAAAATAAAATAAAGTAAAATAAAATAATGGAAATTAATATCACATAAATTATTAAAATTAATTAATTTCAAATAAAAAAAGTAAAATAAAATTACGAAATTAGATTAAATTGGATTAAACTGATATAAATTAATCTTATTAAAAAAAAATAATATCGAATGATATAATAAAATTAATTAATGTCAAATAAAGTTCAGAAAACTGAATAAATTAATATATGACAAAATAAAGTAAAGTAAACCAAAATTATTAAATTAATTTGAGTTCAGTAAAATAAAATAATATAAATCAATATCATATATAATAACAAAATAAATTAAAATAAATTAAAAAAGTAAAATAAACTGAAATAAAATTATTAAATTAAATAGATTAAGTTAAATTGGAATAAACTATCTTATGTTAAATTAATATTTATAAAATAAGAAAGTAAACTAATATAAAATAAAAGTACATAAATTAATATAAAATAAAACTAAATAAATTATTATAAAATAAAGCTAAATAAATTTAAATAAAGTATTTAAAAAATACAATATAAAATAAAATAATTAAAAAAAAAAAAACAAAATCAAAAAAAAAAAATTAAATTAAAGTAAATTAATTAAAATTAAATAAATTTAAAAGAAAATATAATCAAATTAAATAAAATGAGGCGATATAAAATCTCAAAAATCCAAAAGAAATAAAAGTTAATTAAAAAATTAAAATCAATTGAATTGAATTCAATGATAGGAAATAAATATTGATTTCAATGAAATGACGTAAGGGAAAATAACACAAAAACAAATTGATATAAGATAAAATAAAATTAATTAATAAAAGAGTCTGCCTGAGTTTAGTATGTTTTTGAACATAATTGTCAGCTATTTCAAAAATAAAATTATTTAGTTCTTAATGCAGTTCTCAAGGAGATTTCATTGCCACAATAGAACCACATGTTTCAGATGTATTTGTATTAGAATAATTTAAAATAAATCTCTTCTGTAATTTTCTATTTTCAAATAGTTTTTCGCTAAAGTTGCACGCCACATTCGATTAAATATAATAGTAAATTTCGAAATAAATAAAAACTCTTTATGAATCCAAAATGAACTAATTTTACATACCAATTAAATATATATGTTTGCGGTCTGTTGGAGGCTCACCAAAAGACAATTGAAATTATAATTAGCCATGTCCAATATGGTAAATGAAGTGAAAATGATTTGCTTTAAATACTTTTCGAAAACGCTGTGGCGCACTTCCGATACTCACTTACTGGCATGCTAAATAAAGCGTAGTCCCTAAATTGGGTCCGTAGTATAATATATGTATGTATGTGGTACATATGTATAGCGTATAAATAAGTCTATTCTTCGAACATGTATGTATGCATGTGCCAAGAATTGGGGTCTGCCATTAGATGCGGGTTTATTAGAAAAAGAGAAAGAGAAAAAGAGAGAGAGAGTGGAGTTGAGGTGGTCGTGGCGAACGCCGGTCGCCTACTTGGACCTATGCGACGTAATGTGCCACATATGTATGTACATACGTTTGTAGTATGTGTGTGCATATTGCGTTTGTGGTTTTCTGTTTTCTTTTTTCAGTTGTATTTGATTTTCTACTTCACTTTATTTTTCAATAATTTTCTTTTCAATTTTTTTTTCTTGTTTTTGTCTTTTTGTTTGTTAGTCGCTCTTTTGTGTTGATTACTTTTTTAGTACGTGTTAAGCTTTTGACGCGAACGGGTGCCCATTAAATGGCAAACCGATCAATAGAGTTGGTGGCATAGTAAATAAGTTGTTTTATAGAAAAAGTTAAAGCGACGATTATTTCGAATTCTCAAACATTAATAAATTTAAAAAAATGTACATATAATTTGTGGCGTTAAGCAAATTTATGTATGTTAATATGTTATATATATAGTTAATTCTTAATTCAAATTTTAATTATTTTTTTTATTTTGGAGCATTCGCGCGCCAAATTTGAGTGTCAAAAGCAAATTCTTAAAAAAATCTCAAAGATAATCTTAATTATGTGCAACACAGTGCTTTAACAACATTTTCTATTTTTTCCACTTTCCCTGTATCCCCACTCTAAAGGGACTTGCTGGTGATTTACAAGCTCGTGAATCATTCGTTGATGATTTGAAATCTTCGGCTAAGCCTCTTATCGAAACATGTGATGTACAAATTGTCGAGCAAATCGAGTCGGCCGTGCAGGATGCGGTTATAGCGTGGAATGATACTTCAGATAATTTACAACAATTGTGTACACGTTATCAGCGTGCTGTTGAGCTTTGGGAGAAATATCGTAACGCTTCCGCAGCGGTACGTAATTACGTTGAACAACAAATGGATACAGTAAAGAATTTGGAGCAACCGTTGGAGACGCTGCAAAGTGCTAAGGTGAGTTTTAAAAGTTATTAAAATTAAATTTAATTTTAAATAAATTTTCAACAAAAAAATTCTAGAAGAAAACTACTTAAAATCAAACGAACACAACTCACTTTTCGATAGTTCAAATAATAATAATAAAAAGGTTTATTTGCATAAATACATTTAGGCTACTGTCGGCAATATGGTTCGTACGGTTCTCAAACAAAAAATTATACAAAACAAGAAACAAAAACAAATCTATGAATCACAATGATAACTGACCACTGATCATTACTAAATCATTAAGCCACAATTAATTTAAGCGCTTTATAAAATTAGTGTTTTATTTTTCTGTGCCAAAAGAGCATAATTGAGCGTGGAGAATTTGGTCAAATTAATTAGATTCTACGCACAAGCGTATATACAGCCGTATGTAAATTAGTCGCTTAATTAGCTTCTGGTAATAGAAGAATGACCTAAATTTATTTAGTCATATTTATTTCTAACATATGCGGTCAGTTTTGTAATACTGTATGCATGGTTGTAGGTGTTCAATTTTTTATTTTGATTTTATAAATCATTTTTTAAGTTCAACAGTTCAAGTTTGTTGGCTATTCTGAGCTATAGCTTATAAATAATGCTAGAGAAGTAGTAATATAGAGTGTGGAAAATAAATTAATTAAGCAAATGTTGAAGGTTATGACTTAGGCACACGCATATTTTAGAATTTAATTGTTTTTTACTGTAGTTAACAATCAGAATTTTGGATCGGTTTATTCGTGTTATCAATACATTTTAATGCTCAATATTTGTTTGTTAATACATCTTCAAGATTTTAGAAACGAGTTTTCAGTATAAGATATTTTATTTATATGTATGTTTTTCAGTAAGAGTCTAATTTAATTCAAATTATTTAATTTTTATTTTAGTGTATTTCATTTTAAATTATTACATTTTATTTTTCTGTACTTTATTTTATTTCATCATATTTAATTTTATACTATTTTATTAGAGCTTAAATAATTTTTTTATTTATTTTATATTATTTTATTTTATTTAATTTTGTTTAATTTTTTTTATATTATTTATTTAAATTTTTTTTATTTCAGTTTACTTTGTTTTATATTATTTTATTTGATATTATTTTGTTATACTTTAATTAATTTCTTTTTAATTTTAATGTATTTATATTATGATTTATTTAATTTATTATTAATTTATTTGAAATAATACTTTTATTCTTAATTATTTTATTTCATTTAATTTTTTTTTTATTTTAGTTTACTTACTATTATTTTATTTCATTTTATTTTGTTTTAGTTTATTTTTTATTTTAATGTATGTATTTAAATTATGATTTATTTAAAATCAATTTTATTTAAAATTATATGAATTATTTATTTTATTTTATTTTGCTTTATTTAAATTTGTAATTTTATTTTATTGCATTTTATTTTATTGTATATTATATCATTTTATTATATTTGAAATAATATTCATTTTTTATTTATTTTATTATATTTTATTTTGTTTAATTTTTTTTATTTTGTTTTGGCTTATTTTATGTTGTTATATTTTATTTATTCCTTTTCATTTTATTTTTGATTTGCTTTGTTTTTTTGATTTAATATTTCATTTTATTTAAATTTTTTTATATAATTATTTTTTTTTTTTAATTTAGTTTACTTTATATTATATTATTTTATTTTATATTACTATGTTTTCTTATAAACAATTTTATTTTTTTATTTCAATGTAATTATATTATGATTTATATAAAATTATTTTATTTTGCTTTATTTAATTAGGTTATTTTATTTTATTTTATTTTATTTTATTTTATTTTATTTTATTTTATTTTATTTTATTTTATTTTATTTTATTTTATTTTATTTTATTTTATATTATTTTATTTTATTTTATTTTATTTTATTTTATATTATTTTTTTTTTGCTTTGGTTTATTTTACTTTTAAAATTTTCTTTTTATATTAGTTTTGATATATTTTATTTTAATTTATTTTATTTAACATTAATTTAAATTATTTTATTTCATTTTATTTCAAATTTTTTTTTTGCTTTGGTGTATTTTACTTTTAAAATTTTCTTTTCATATTAGTTTTGATATATTTTATTTTAATTTATTTTATTTAACATTAATTTAAATTATTTATTTTGTCTCAATTTTTTATTTTAATATATTTATATATGTATATATATGTAATATTTTTTTATTTAATACTCCATTTTATTGTATATATTTTTAATTTATATTGTTTTATTGCGTTTCGTTTATTTCATGTTTAGTATAAAGAAGTTTGCAATTAAATTACTTTTTTTATTTGTTAAGAAAGGGAAATGCGTTGGTTGATTTATACTTACAATGTTAACCAACAGAAAATAAAAAGGGAAATTTATTTGCATATATTCAAGCTTATCAGTGGTTATTAAAATGAACTAATTAACTAACTAATTACATACAAACGCAGTCTTTAGCAAAAGCGTTCATATACCATTAATATTATATGGAAATATGTGTATGCATATATAATTTCAAGCTGTAGCCCGACAAGGGTTATTGTTTCTTCTTAATTCTTTTTTTCCATTGAGCTTATCGCATATTTACAATTGCTTTTTTTTAGTAAAGAAAAAAGTGAAACAGTTGACAATATTTGTCATGAAAAATTTAAAAAATATAAATGAAATGCAAAAGGGTATGAAAAGAAAAAAATACACGCCATTAACAGACATTGAACTCTTTCTGCTTATTGTTGTATGAAATGTTTTAAAAATTATAATTTTTTTATAAATCATACTTGTTTTTTGGCGCTTCAATTTTTCACTTATGTTTCATTATCGCATTAATAATTTTTTTTTCTGAAATAATCAAGTCGCGACATAAAAAAAGCCAGGAATTCGCTGACAAATAAATACAGAATTATGTTTAAGCCGTTGGGTGTTTGTGTAAGAATTTTTCAAATCCCAACTCAATGTCGTTGAAAAGTAGAGATAAGCTGTGTGGCCGGCATACTTACTGATATATGTGCATACATACATGTATAATTATGTTGTAAACATGATCACATTCATAGTAATGAAATTCTGTGCGCTTACATTGAAACCATTTTTTGGCGTTTTTTCTGAAGTCTATGGCTTAACATACCAGTTGTGCAAGCATGACATCACAAACAGCTAAAATGATGTCATAAAGAACACAAAATCAGAAGAAAACAAAAACAACAAATCCTAAATATCTGATCTTGTTTGTTGTAAATTGAGCAATAAGCCGTTGAAATCTCAGACAAATTTATTTGAAGCAAATTTTTGGAACATGAAAAGGGAAATCGTAGGTTATCAGTAGCTAAAATGTTATGTGTATGAGTATATTTGTAGTAAGCGTGAAGTAGTTGAGGAAATAAGTTCATGTGTTTTTAAGCTAGTGTACAGTCAAAAATTATAGCAGACAAATTTTGTTCTTTTATTTTAGTGATTTTAGAGAGTAGGACTTTATTATCTCTAATTTTCATACACATACACATATATATATGCAGCAGCAACAAAAATAACAAAAAATTCACAAACACTTTTATCCAAGGTGTGGTATTGCATGGTAGCATTTAAACGCTTACCTGGCATTATTTTGAAAAACCATTTCACTGGTCAGTAAGCGCTTGAAATTCGTGTGAACTGGACATCAAAATAATAACAAAAATAGCAACAAAAATGTAAAAGAACCTCAAAATAAAATCAATAAGTGATATAAGCAAAAGTCAGTAGTTAAGTAAAATTCAAGTAAGCGGAACCAAAAGTTAGTGGGAAAACATAAATATAATTTATAAATATACTCGTACATATACTCGTATAGCTATTATAAATATGTACATATATACTTACATACATATGAGCATATGTGCTAAAGCTTGTACTTGATTGATACATATAAACATATGTATATTTTATAAATAGCAGAATTAAAATCATAGTGTCATGCAATCAATAATTTGTCGTTATTGCTTTCCCTTGTGTTCGCCGCGCGCCTGCACAAGTAACTCATACGACCGGGTGTCCGTTTGGAAAATACACGTTAGAAGTTAAATGAAGTGCTATTGCATTTCCGTGTATGTATGTGACACATTTATTAACAAACACAAGCATATTCTTATTATAAGTCTATATGTGTATGTGTTTGCTTGCATATGACTGTGCATATGCCTGTGTGACGACGTGATTGTGGCAAATAAATGCAAAATGTCAATGTACGGCGCGCAAAACATTATAGCTAGCCACTACAAGTGGCACGTACGTATGTGAATATTTAGGTTCGTATGTACATATGTATAAATACATATTTAAACGCCAGACGGCAACTTTAGAAATTGGTCACTGAACATAAGTAAAAGTAAAAAAGAAAATGTATTTAAGACAACATAAATTCAAGAAGTATTCGTAGTCGCAAAAGAAGCCAAATGCATAGCAACAAAAATTTTTATTTATACACACATACCTGTATGTACTTGTATGCATCAGTCGAGAAAACTATTCTTTAGACTCATTTTGCGTAAAGGAATTAGATGAAAAGTGACTTGTGTGCTAAATAATTTATTTAAAGCGTCGCCAATGGAAAATTGGTGTAAAAAAACTACACATACATACATTCTAATACATGTAGTTTTTAACAAAAATGTGAAGAGTATGTAAAAATATGCAAAACCGACTCGTTTTAAACGCGTGCATATATATACATACATATATTTAGAAAAAAAAAATTAATTTTTTAATAAATTTTGTTTGAGAAAGAAAATATTTTTTTAACTATTATCATTATATTTTCTAACTATTGACACTAAGTAATTTTTAGACTATAACTCATTTTTAATTTTGGTTTAAAGAAGCTGCCGCTTGTTAAATATTTAAAATATTTTATTTCATAAACAAAAAAAAATGTAATTGACCGAAAATAAATGTATACCCATTAGATTTCGTAAAGAAAACCACAAAACAGAGGATTAACGTTTTTCTTTGTTTAATTTAGTTTTTTTTTTATTTTAGTTTACTTTCTTTTATTTTATTTCATTTTGTTTTAATTTCATTTATTTATTTATTTTTTAATTTATTGTATTTAATTTCATTTATTTATTTTTTTTAATTTATTGTATTTATATTATGATTTGTTTATTTAATTTTTTAATATTTTATTTATTTATATTATGATAATTCTTTTATTTTAGTTTAATTTCTTTTATATTATTTCATATTTTTGTTTTAATATCATTTTTTTATTCTTTTAATTTTATTGTAATTTATTATTTTTATTCTTTTATTTTAAATTATATATTTTTTTTTATTTTTTTTTATTATTTTTTTTTTATTATTTTATTTTGTTTATTTCATTTCTTTTATTTTAGTTTACCCTCTTTTATATTATTTTATTTTAAATTATTTTGTTTTAATTTAAGTTATTTATTTTGTTTTATTTTATTGTATTTATATTATGATTTATTTAATTTATTATTATTTTATTTCGAATTATAATGTTTTTTATTTATTAATTTTTTTTTATTTTGTTTATTTTATTTTATTTTATGTTATTTTTTTTATATTATTTCTTTTATTTTAGTTTAATGTTAATTTTAAATTATCTTGTTTTAATTTTATGTATTTATTTTTTTTATTTTATTTCATTTGATTTTTTTAATTTACAACAATATTTATTTTTCCATTTATAATTTTTTATTTATTCAAATAAGTGGAAAATAAAGAAAATGTTAAAAAAATCTAAGTAACTATTATTAAAAATCGCCGAAAAAAACATTGAAAGAAAAATTTAAATACTTTTGAACAAAAAAATTTTCAATTTCGAATGAGTGAAATATTTTTTTTGTGAAAAAATTTGAAATTTTTGTTGTGAAAAAAGGAAAAAAAAACTTGAAATAAACTACTTAGTTTATATTTTTGTGCTCAAAAAAAAAATTTTTTTAATTCAGAATTTCTATTTTGTTTTTAATAAATTTTGTTGTTTTATATAACTCTGAAAAAATTAAAGATAATTTCGAATTTTTTTCTGGATACTGAAATACATATGTATGTATGTAAATGAAAAATATCCGTCTATATATGTAATTGGCGCATTAAATAAATTGAATTTTTTTATTTATTATAATCTTTAGTACTTACGCTTCTTTCACTTGATTTTCCTTGATATTTCTAAAACAATATAGTTTTATAATTAATTTCATTCTCTCTCTCTCTCTCTATCTCTTGTCGCCTTTACAGATCTGCCAGGATAATTTGAATACGCAAAACGATCGTTTAACCGAATTGCGCGACATTGTTACGAAAATAGCCGCCGATATTGGTTTAGATGCCTCCGGCCTTATGCAAGGCGAATTGGATGCTTTAGGCCAACGTTTGCAAGACTGCAAGGAGGCCATTACCACATTGGCCAATGTGGCCGAAGCCAAGGATAAAGAACGCAAGGCAATCGAAGAGAATGTACAACAAACGAAAGTGTACTTGAACAATGTGCAGAAGGTGAGTGTGAAATTTTCAAATACAAACAATAGAAACAATGGAAAATAAACACAAAAACAAGAAATTTATAAGTACATACCTACATACATAAATATGTATACACGTATATAAATTTTACATGTGTGCTAAATCTATCAACATTGCACACGTTTAATTTGTTTGTAATTGCAGCTACGCATGCATGTACTCGCTCTCTCTCTCTCTCTCTCTCTCTCTCTCTCTCTCTCTCTATCTTTCAATTGCAATGTGCCAATTCCAATGACATATGGCGCCAAGTATGTGCGTGTGCAATTTTTTGTGGCATATCCTCATACCCCTTCATGTTCATTTATTCTCTAATAGAATTAAATACTTTAGATTGTGATTGAAGATATCATAAATTTTCAATATTCCTGTCTACATACACCTCGGTGTTAGCATGTGCTTTTAGATTAGTGATTTCACGACTTTATTGGGTCCTTTTCGTTTAAATAGGTCATAATCGATATATTACTGAAGCGTGCAGGTATCGGGCATAAAATTTGTTTATTATGAAGAACTCTTTTGGCTTTTAATCCAAAAATAATTTTATTATAAACGTTATTATTACTAAAATACCTGTTAGTAAAGGTATTTGTTGTCAATTAGAATTCTACTAGTTTGCAGTTTGCAGTTTTCTACGCCTGTGACCAAGCCTGTTGACCCATTGAGATTTGATCGTTGTTGTTGTTGTTCTTGTTGTTGTAACCGCAAAATTATTCCCCAAAGTACTTTTTGGGGAATGTTGCGGGAGTGACAGTCCTTGGCCGGATAAAAATCTGGGTCGTTCCGGTATAAAGACCCAACTGTCGCGGGAACTATTGGATTTTAGTCGCCTCTTACAACAGGCATGCCTTACCGCGGGTAAATTCTAGAGCCCCTAACCCGCAGGGGTTGAGATCTGATTGCCTTCTCAAACACTTGCTGTGATCAGGTTAGCGAAGCAAACGAAGTAGTATTTTCCGAGATATTTTCTTCATCATTGGCATAGGCACCGCTTACGAGGTTAAAGCCGAATACACAATAGCACATCACTCGTTCCTTCTCTTTGATGTTTGATGCCAGTTGAAAATACCAATTGAAAACAGATCGCTCTCGTCTTGATCCTTCAACCTTGCGGAGATCTTCCTTATTTATTGCTTCCACTAGCGGCTCTTGCATCGAATACTTTTAAAATAATCATCAACGTAGTGCTTACATCCTTTCGGACAATGTGTTCTAGCTGGCGTAGCCGTTGTCGCTGCATCCGCTGAACTATATCAATGTCATATGGATGTACAGCTTATTGCTCCATCGTCTCCGGAATTCGCCGTTGTCTATACACATGAGACCATAAATCTTTCGCAAAACTTTAATCTTGAAAACTCCAAAGACCGAAACTTCGAATATCGATTTCCATCACGCTTCTGCACTAAGACGGAGTGATGAGAAAATTGTAACAGAGTTTAGTTTTGGTTCGTCAGGAACGTACTGTACTTTTCAATTGCGTATTCGGTTCAAAGAAGTACCTGACATTAACCAAGGACCCGAAGTTGTGACTATCGGCATGGACGTGGGAGCCAATACGCGAATGCGTTCACTGTTTGTCAGCAGTTGTAGACTCTTGTAAAAGATTGTACCTTTTCTATTAAGCTCTGCAGCTCCTATTAATTTCTCCTGCATCAAATTTAAGAAATCTCACTATAAAGAGTCAACCTATCCGAAACAGCGTTTGGTAATGAACGGTTCAGAGAGGGCCTTGCCAATTCTGACTGCACTTTTGTTCTTGTCCAGCGTCAGAGAGACCAAATTTAGACGTAACGGAGTTTCATAAAACAGTTTAATGTTATTGTGGCAGTTATAATACTGATGACGAATCGATCTAGAGGAAGTATATTTCTTGACTTACTGAGCATCTAGCTCTAATCAAATCTGTTGATATGATATTTCACGTGGTTTCAGTAAACCATTGCCTTTGGCTGTTTACTGAAGACCAGTCTTAGCATATGCTTTGTTGTGGACAGATGTATTACACTCGTCCATTGCATTGAATTCGTATTAGTTAAGATGATTTCGCCTCTACTTAGCCATCCCAATTCTATATCCGATTAGCCAGATCACAGTGGTGTTGCATTTACAGAAAAGTCAATGCAGAGTGCTTCGACGTTCTACTAAATAGTTCTTCTCTATTATTTTCCCATGCTAATGACTTCTATATTTAACACGACGATTGCCAATAAAATGTCAATTATCCGCTTATACATCAGCATCATACTAGTTAAATACTAGTTTTCTCAATAGCTTTAACTGTTTCTTCTAAGCAGGGATTATGGACGTTACTGATGTAGTCAAATGGGCAATTGTCTCCTTAGGTTTCCTGTTGACAGGTTTGTTCTTGTTGGGTCTGCATTTGTAGGTGGCAGTATGGGAAATTGAACTCCTTGATAATCGTGAGTTAAAAAGGTTTTTTAGTACCCCACTCGTTGCACATTGAAGCAATAAAAACCTTTTGTAGTTACACACAAATACAAATATACAGTTACGTGCGTGTGGTTGTGTATAAATCCGTTATTCGACTTTGAAGCGCTGCTATAGACACACTCCTAACCACCAACCAACAATCACACCACATTGCGTTGAGGTCATTATCAAATTATAGTAGGAAGTGAAAAGTTTTTAGCAATTACCTTAGAAGTCGGCAAATTGGTTAAACGAAAGAAAACAATACAACAAAAAAGTACGGTATGCGTTTAGAAAGTAGTAGTATAGAAGAAGGAGAAAAAGGAGAAGAAGAAGAGAAGAAAACTGCTGCGATTTGCATACAAGTTTGTTGTTTGCCCCGCGCGCGCCCGCTACTTGTGGGTGAGTGCCCTATTTGGACACCTACCGCTCGCCGCTGCTAACAACTTCGACTCTTCTGTGTTACCACAGAGTTGTATTTGTAATTGATGGTAATTGATATGCATGTAACAAATGCAACTGCCAATTTAATAATGCATGTTGGCGCAATTACAACAGCAACACAGCAGTGCGATATGCAGCACAAACAATTGTGGCAAGTGCCTCAGTTTACAGTCTTTCAACGTCTTCGCTGTGTTTGAACGTGCTTTCGTGTTGTCGCTGCAGACATTTATTTTCGAAATTCAATTTTGTTTGAATACTTTTCCCAGAATTTTTCTTGACTCAAAAAAAATAATAATAATGTCTCTCCTTCGTTTCTTACAGGATGTCGATCGCCAAGCACAAGTCACCACCGCAACCGGCGTGCCTAGTGAGGAGCAGTTAACAGCGCTACGCAGCCACTTGCAGACGCTGGCGCGCACCGAAGAGGAGTTGAAACAGTTACGTGAGCGTAATATTGAGAATACGGCGCCCGAGTTGGGTCAGTTGGCAGAAGATGATAATACCATTATCGAAGTGTTGGAGTTATGGCAGAAGATATTCCAGGAAACCTTCCAAGAATACCATCGCCTCTCCACACGTCTACTGCGCAGTCAGAATAGTGCCGAGGCTCTGAAGTTGTGGCGTCAATACTTGCAGCATGTGCAACAGTTCCTGGCTTGCAACATTCCGGAGGATTACACGAGCCTCAAGGAGCAACAACATCTCTGTGAAATACACCAAAACCTGCTCATTTCGCAACAAAATGTGCTCGCCACACACACCGAAGCAGAGCAGCAACTAGAACCCGCGCTAGCCGAGCAATTCAAGGTGCTGACGAATATGCATAATGAGACCTTGTCGCGTATAATGCAACGCAATAGCGAGTTGGAGCGACGCATGTCGGCTTGGAACACCTATCGAGTCGATTTAGCTGCGTTACTCGAGTGGCTGAAGGAGCGTGAGAAGGAACGCACACGTCTACAACTGCGGTATATACACCTGAAGCGCGTGCCGCGACTGAAGCAACGGTTGGATGAGTTGCTACAACAGCTGCCGGTGGGTGAGTCTATGTTGACGAAGTTGAAGGATCAACAGTCCGATTTAATGCGTTTCTGCGATGATGCACTTGCGACCTCCATACGCATGGAGCAGTCGAGCGTGGCACAACGCATTAACAACTTGAAAGCTGCACTCGAAACTTGGTACGGTTTTCTGGTGAAGATCTCACAGCTTGCGAGCACGTATGAACAACGCGTTGCGCAACTCGATACCGAATTTGATAAAATCCAAGAGCTTGTTGGCAACACAAATGCGTCCTTACCAACCAACGCCAGTGACATACAGAATTGCTTGAGTAAGCTGCGCGCACAGCAAGTGCATTTGTCGACGCTGACACAAGACCTAGAAGGCCTCAACGTCGTGCAAGAGGAGCTGAAGGAATGCATTAGTCCGCACGATATGAAGAGTATACGTCAGAAAATCTGGCTGCACTGGCAGCAGCATGCCGATCTCGAATACCAACTAACGACGTTGATAAATATAATTGAAGAGCGCTTGTCGCTACATGCGCTCTTCAATACACGCTACGAACGTCTCGCGCACTGGTTGTCTGGTCTGGAACATCGGGTTGAGCGCGACTCGGACATCTCAGCGATTGCTAATCCCGAAGATGCAGCACGCCAACTAGATAAGCAGATAACCGCTGAATTGCTGCTACGCGAAAAAGACCGCGAGTGGCTGCTATCTACCGGTCGGGAGCTGATCTCACTTTACACGGACAATTCACAGAACGCTGAGGTCATACGTTCTGAAGTGCAAGAGAAGTCGGATATGTTAATCGATCGCTGGGAGCGACTGAAGTACCTGAGCAAGCAGCGTGCCAATAAGATTGGCGACTTGAAGATGACGCTGTTGCGGCTGGAAGAACGCATTGCCTTAATACGCGCCTGGATGTTCGAGGTAGAGACTGAGTTAGACAAACCGCTCACTTTCGACTCGTACACGCCGCCCGTAATAGAAGCGAAACTCAAAGAGCACGAGAAAATACAACGTTCCATTGAGAATCACAGCAGTAATGTCGGCGAAGTGTTGAATTTGGTAGAAATGTTGCTGAATGATGCCGACACCTGGCGTTCACATGTGAATACATCGAATTTGGGCATTTCTGCGCAAAATCTCGAAAAGCGCTGGAAGAACGTTTGCCAACAATCTGCCGAACGGAAGCAGCGTATACTTACTACATGGAATCTGCTCCAACAACTGATTAAATACACCACTGAGTACAAGACATGGCTGAGCAAACAGGAGGCAGACATTGCCGCTTTCGAACGTGACTTAACGAATTTGTCAAAGGAAGAAGCGGCTGTGCGTCAAAAGGGCGTCGAGGCCAAACTGCGTGAGCTGGAGGTACAAGAGGCGCCACTTAGTCAGCTGGCGCACACTTACGCCAAACTCATGATGAGCGCTGGCGTTGATCCTGAGAATATACAGAATCTCACCATGCCCACAAAGGTAATGTTGGCTAAATGGCGTCAGCTTGGACCACGTTGTCATGCCGTTATCGACGTGATAGACAAAGATGTAAAACTGCGACGCGATTTTGATAAAGCGCAACAAGAAGCCGTACAAACATTGACCGGTATACAAGCTGAACTAGATAGATTGCTTAAGCAGCAACCGAAAACACCCGCGGAGGCTAAGGCGGCGCTCAAACGCGTCGAAAGTTTGGAAGCTAAATTGAAGCAGGCGGGAGAAAAAGTCGAAAACGCTGATAAACTCGCGACCGAGACTAAGTCCAAAGCGAAACAGGACGAGCTCACACGTATCATAACGCTCATTACGCAATACACAACCATCTGGCGCGAGCTGCAAACACGTATTGTCACAATCAAAACCGAGTGGCTTGCCAAAGCGACAGCAGCTGCGGCCGGCGGAGTGGCAGGCGCAGTAGCTGAAGCAGCAATCACAGCGACCCGCGTTTCCGAGGCTGATGCTGGGGTGCAAGTGGATACTTTGCCACAACGCAAGTTACGTAAAGCACAAATGCAACGCGAAACGTCGATCACTGCGAAGGATGCCTACATTATGGAGCTGGAGACGGCGATCAAAGAGTGCCAAACAAATCTCGAAGAATTGCAACGCACCATTTGCGATAAGACACGCAAGCCGGGTCCACAAAAGATGTCGAAACTCATAGGCAATGCACAGTCCTCCACCGAGCTCATGAAACATTTGAGTCAGCTGCTGCTGAGCGAATGTCAGGCTAATGAAAAAGAGGCACAGGTGGAGACGGTGTCAGAGTTGTCGCTACGCTTTGATACGCTTTTGTCGCAGTGGAAGACGCGTCAACAGCAGGATCAGAAAGCTAAGTAAGTGTTGTCTTTCATTATATGCATTCATATATTTGTTGGAAAAATTATTGAAAAAAGGCTTATGTAAATAAATATTAATATTTTAACATTGGTGTTGGGTACTCATACAATTGTTACTCTCTATTTTCTCGTTCTTATTTTTACACTGTACCCTACATACACCATACACATACACATGTGAATAAAAAACAATACAAATTAACACACGCCTAAAAATATGCTTCATCCCACGCTATGTGCCAAATTCGCAAACGCATTTCCATAAACAAAAACAAAAATATGCCTTAACAGAAGTGCGCTTCCGGCTGCATACAAACTGACCTGCCCACAGTAAGTGCCAATACACTGTAATCTCAATTGTACATATATGTAAACATTTTTTAAAAAATACACTTAACTTATTATACGCATAAAAAGCTCATATGACGAAAATTTGTTGTAAAGTCTTATTTGCACTTTTATGAAATATTTGTAATTGTAAAATACATCAAAACGGCATTCAAGCCTTTTAAAGCTTTCATACATATTTTTTAAGCTTAAAGCTCTCTAAAAACAATTTTTTGAGTACATTCACTTCATTGTTTAAATGACATTGAATTTGTCAAAGCTCTGTTAAATCTATTTTACTGAAAATACTATTATAAATTTTCTATCTATCTATAAATAAAAAATAAAATAAAGAAGTATTTAAAGTATTCTAGTTAAAATGCTTATGAAACCAAAGGAAAGCTTTACTAATCTTTGATTTTAAAACGTCCGAAAATGAGCTTTATTTAAAAGCTTGAACAAATCAATTTAATATGAAGTTTTTCAAAAAACTCCACCAAAGCTTCGCTAATCAAAGTTTGTTAAGCTGTCTGTCGAAAATTAAGAAAAAATTTATAAATCTTTTTATGGTACAGATACAACGCTTTAAGATATTTTTATTATTTATTATTGAGCGCTTAAAAGATGTTATAAAGATTATAGAAGCTTTTGAAACTTTTTGTGCGGATTTAAAAGCTTTAAAATCTAATATAAAAATAAAAGAAAAGATAAGCATAATTATTATAAAAGCTCCATCGAAATTGTATATAAAATATGAAAGCTTTACAAAAGGCTACAAAATCTCTTAAAGGCTTTGTTATAATCATAAAGAGCTCAATAATAATAAATAATAATAAAATAGCCTTTCTTAATTAATGTAAATTTCTAAAAGCTGCACTTGAGGATTTGAAAAATACTATACTCATAAAAGCTTCATAGATAGAATCTGTCGAAATTGAATATAAATTTATGAAAGCTTTAAAAAGCTTCTGAAAACTGTATTATAGACTTAAAACGTGCTATTTTTCGCCACCTCATCGCTTTCAGCATTCTTCTTATTTCTAATTTATACTCATAGTTAAAATTATTATTGAATATCAAACAAATTACTCACACTCATTTCACTTCTCTACTCTACCCACAACAGTGAGGCCGGCCGCTTAACTTGTCCCCTCTGCACACAACGCAACTGGCAACAGATCGATAACGATCTGTGGCGCCTCGAGCAATGGCTACAATTCGCCGAAGGCACACAAAAAGCACAAACCTCGCCACCTTCAAATATTGAACAACTCGAAGATGTCGTTCAAGATCATCGTGAATTCCTGCTCGATCTCGAAAGTCACAAATCGATTGTGATGAGTTTAAATGTTGTTGGCGACCATCTAGCCACACACACATTGGACACCGAGAAAGCGCGTCAACTGCGCGATCGTCTCGAAGCCGACAACCAACGTTGGAATAATGTCTGCATAACGGCAGCCAAATGGCAAGGTCTACTACAGACAGCGCTGATGGGTAATAGCGAGTTCCATCAGATCATCGATGAGCTATGCACATGGCTACAACAAACCGAACAGAATATTAAATCTTCCGAACCGGTCGATTTGACAGAGGAACGCAGTGTGTTGGAAGCGAAATTCCGCAAATTCAAAGAACTACGCGCCGAGCTGGAACGTTGTGAACCACGTGTTGTGAGCTTACAGGATGCCGCCGATCAACTGTTGAAGTCCGTTGATGAGTCGAGCGCCGAGTCCACGCATACGTATGCAAGGTAAGCGGGCGTATGGGCCAAGCCGCAGGGCGGAACGATTAAAGTAGTAGGGGGTTAACCAAAAGCAAGATAAAAATGTGTAAGAAAGTGAAGAGAAGCCAAGTTTTGGTAAAAAGAAGAAAGTGAAGAAAAAGAAATGCTTATGAAAATGGAAAATAACTTTTTGCGTACAAGAAGTCACACATATGAAGAAAGCTGCTAAGAATGGGCTGTGATGAATATTAATTTGTAGTAATAATTTGCTGAAGTAGTGTGGTTGTAGTAAGAATACTTGCTCTCTTCAATTGCTTGTAGTTTATTGGAAAAAACGTAGCCACCACAAGAAATTACTTTCCTTAATAAATTTTAGTTCTTAAGTTTTATGTAAGACTAGTCTTAAAACACAAAAACACATCCCTCATCGTGTCATAGTGCTTTGTTCGAAATTAAATATCTTCTACGTTCCAAATTAAACTAACACCTAAACTAGTTTTCGGCTTTTATGACTAACAAAATATTTAATTAAATAGTATATTAAAATATTTATGGTAATGTAATAAAAAATTTTGAAATATTAGATTTTTACCAAAGTGTGCAAACGGTGCAATTTCTTTTGTGTTCTCTTCAAATCGTAAATATACTCGCGCTTTATAAGAGCTTGAGCTATTTTGAGTTCTCTTCCTTCTCTTCCAAGCTGTGGTGTGTGTCTTGCTGCCACTCGTTCAAACGGAAGAGCTTTCAGTTTTAAGTCGCTTTCTAACGAAAGAATTCGAAACCATGACTTTCCGCATGATAACACACAGTCGGCTATAGTAGTCACCAAAATATTCTGCACTGAAAATATTTAAAAACAGATTTTCTGTGAAAGTTTTTAGCAGAGCTTTTAGAAGTTATTTTTTATTTATTATAATCTTCCAGCTTTTAGCTGTTAAAGCTTCTAGAAAGTACTTTGCTTTTATAATCGGTTTTTAATATAAAAATTAGAGATAATTTTAAATCTTCCATATTTTTGGAAAAAGGTTTCATAAAAATTTATGTCACTTTACTTTTAATCAATTTTTTTTTTTAATATAAATAATTTAATGTAGCTCATACCACAAATATTAACAGCAAAGTAAAGGATTTTTTATGAAAAACGTCGAAACTTTCTTATGTAAAAGTTTTAGAGCTTTTTAAGCTTTTAGCTTCTTTGGTGACGAAAGCTGCTTAGTATATAATTGTAAAATAATATTAAAGATTTCAAAGAAAACCAGATTTTTTTGAGCTTTTTAAGCTTAGATAATTTTTTGAAAACGTAAGCTCCTTAGTATACAGTTTTAAAATGTATAATTTTATGATCTTCTCGAATTAAACACAAACTAAAAGCTTAAAAGAAAGGCCTAAAAATAATTTTTTTTTAATACTTTCTTAATTTAATTTATGATTCGAATATTTTCTGTAAGCGCACTTTGGTAAAAAAAATATTGGGTTTAAATAAAGGCATTAAAGCAATTTTGGTTAAAAAAAAAATACAAAAATAATAATTATTTTTTACAGTTAAATTACAGTATTTAAAAAAAAATTAAATTATTTTGAAATCAATTTTTTTTACCAAAAGTATATGATTGAAAAATTTATAATTTTCATTTAAATAATATAAAATTAAAATAACTGTGATTCTAATAAACATATTTGGCTGAAATTTCTTTAATAAATATTTATAAATAATAGTGCTATGCACATATTGCCAGCTTTCTTTGCACTTGGAGCTTAAAAGTTTGTCAAAAAGTAATAATTAAAATAATGCATTGTCATATTTTAAAAGCTTCTTAGCTTATAATCAACCATACTTTATGTACTCCGTCAGTGTATTACATTTGTATCTCATATATATTTTGAAGTATATAACAAAATGTTTTGTTAAGCTTTTACCATACCATTTTAATTTAAAAAAAAAAGGGAAAAATATTTTTAATTATTTACTTTACTGCGTACTTATACTTTGACTCTCTTTATCTTTAATTGTGTTTTGAAAAGTTTTTATAAACTTTTGTTAAACAATTACTAGAACTATATTTTTGCTTAACAAAAAAAAAAAAAAAAAAAAAAAAAAAAAAACACCAAAATTTTTTTAAATATCAAATTGGCAAAATTGGAATGAACGCTTATACATACATATTTTATATAATATTTACAACATACAACATACATATATCTTCTTATTGTTCTTGTTGGCGTTCTTCTTCTTTTGGTTGCGTATTTGGTTATTTTTGCACTTTATTTTGTTTAAAACTCGAAACTTTTCGTCCGCCCATTCTAACACTTCATCCAATTGATTATCTCCTGAGTTCACTAACATTCGCATTAAATCAAAGAACCCTTTCCAGATTGACTGATCTGCGTTTGCGCCTACAATCGTTGCGCCGCCTATCCGGCATATACATAGTGAAGTTGGGCGCGGTACTCGGCTACGATGGTGATAATATGGGCGTGTCGCTGCATATGTTGTCCAGCGAGGTAAGTGCGCATGAAGTTGGAAAAGAATTTCAAATTAAGCTTATTTCACCTAAATTAATGTGTCGAAAAATATTTTTTTACTACAATATATATTAAACGTAATTTTTCCAAAGCACCTGTGATCTAATTGGCTGCGAAATTTAGCAACGAAAAACGGTTATAAAAAAGTGATTTGTGTGGAATATTAAAAAAGAAAAAAAGAAACAAGAATCAAAAGAGTAAAAAACATTGTTTATTGTAATTTTCTAGTTGAAACATTTGCTTAAAGAAATTTTAAAAATAGTTTGTAGTTTTTTATTTACATAATTTATATATTAATTTTTTATGTATTGTTTTCTTTTCTTTTTCGGTTTTGTGTGTTTTTTTCTTTTAAATGCAATACAGCTTTTGGATCAAACTACATTACCCTCTACATCTTCTTCTATGCAGGCAGCCGCACCAAACACTGATAATGCAAAGTAAATATTATTAGATTGTAAATAAATAGTTTTTATAAGTTTCTTTTCAAATTATTGTATTTTAAGGACGTGAAGTTAGTTGCTAAAACTAAAAAAAAATTACAATTTAATTTAAGTAAATTTAGCTCTTAATTTATTTATTTATTTGCAATTTTTGTTATAAGTTTGACATTTTTCATTCGTTATTTAAATTTTTTAACTGTAAAATTGGTTTCAAATTTTTGTAATTTTAAATTAAACAACTAAAACTCTTATTTATTATTAGTTTTGGAGATATTGTTTTTTATTATTATTTATATATTTTATTTATATATTTTTTGTTTGTAATAATTTTTTTGTTTTTTACTAAAAATTGTTTGAATTTGTTTTTCAAATAGTTTAATGTTTTTTATTATTAGTTTTAGAGATATTACTATCTTTTTATTGATTTTATTATTATATAATTAAAATTTTTGCTTGTATTAATTTTTTGTTTTTCACTAAAAATTTTTTTAATTTGCTTTTAAATAGCTTAAAGCTTTTATTCAATATTAGTTTTGGAGATTTTAATTTTTTTCTTAATTTTTTAATTTATTATTATTTATATAATTAAAATTTTTGTTTGTATTTATTTTTTGTTTTTTACTAAAAAAATGTTTAATCTTTTTTCTGAAATACTTTTAATATTAGTTTTATTTATAATTTCTTAACCTTTTTTTACTAATTTTTTACGATTTTTTTTTTAATATTTTCGTTTTTAATTGTAATTTCCTATTGGTTTTAGCTATTATTATTTTTATTTATTATTGTTTTTATTTATTATACTTTTTTATTATTAGTTTTAAATATGTTATTCCGTTTTTTTAGTAAACATTTAAAGAATGTTTAAACATTATTTTAAAACTATTATGTCTTTTTAGTTTTTCTGTAATTTTTGTTATTTACTATTATTTTTATTTTTATAATTTTTTTGTTTAATATAAAAAAATATTTTCTTTTCATTTTGCTCACATTTTTTATTCGTTGTTATTTTTTGATTTTCCTAAAAAAAAAATTTTAACTCTTTTTTCATTTTAATTCAAATAATTTATGGTATTCATTTATAGTATTTTTAGTTTTTTTATTCAAACTATTATTCAACTATTTTATTTTTTTTTATTTTATATTTTTTTTTTATATATTATATTATAATTTTTGTAATTTTTTAACCGTTATTATTTTTTTTTTGTTTTTACTCAAGAAGTTATTTTAATAAGATTTTTAAAAATCTTTCAATATTATTATTTTTTATTACAAATTTTATATTACTAAATGAAAATTCAAAACTCAAAAGTTTTATACTTGTTATTATTTATTTTTTGTTCTAACATTTTTTTAAATGCAATTAATATAATAATTTTTTTATTCGTTATCTTTTTTACTAAGCAATTTTTTTTTAATTTAATCTTAACAATTTTTAGCTATGGTTTATTTTGTTTTTATTCCTTATAAATTTTAGTTATTATTATTTTACTATTTCTCAAGTTTTTGTCAGTTTTTTGTTTGCCACAAATTGTTTTCAGAACTTATTTTTAATTTTAATTTAAATATTTTATAGCTTTTATTTATTATTAGTTTTATTTATTATTTTTTAGTTATTACTGTAACTTTTATTTATTAATAGTTTTATAATTTTTATTTTTATAATTTATTGTTATTGTTTTCGTTGTTGTAATTTATTGTTTCCAAATTCATTTGTATTTTTTTTATGGAATATTTCATGGCCTATTTGCTTACTTTTTTGAGTATAAAAAGATTTTGAAGTGACGTCAACTAGCAATATTTATTTTAGTCTTCTTCTTTAAGTTTATCTATAAAGTAAAGATTCAATATTTTATTTTTAATTTTTTTGCTTTTAGTTTTGTAAAAGTTTCGATTACTACACGCACTTATGCACTGAATTTCCTCATCTTGCTGGTTTGCCAGTGGACGCATGGACAAAGCATTATAAAAAACTTGATTTCGAATAGAATTTTTTTTATTTTTGGGTTGAAAATATACACACACATATATTATATATATATAATATTATTATGATAATGAAAATGAAATGATTTTCAGTCGAGCTTCTTTTCCAATTTTTGCCGTGCGCCTTGATTTTGTTCAACAAACAGAGAAAGCTATAGTTTTTGCTAATTCGCCTTCAAGCGATTGATGGGTTTCTATGAGCAGGTTTTTTATTTTCTCGTCAGATCTTACTAGGAGGGCTTGAAAAACCTTGTAGGCAAGCAAAAGCAATTGGGAAAATAATTTTAAAATAAATTAAAAACAATTTAAAATGAATATTCTACAGTCTTTAATTTTGTTCTGCGCAATATTCGAGCCCACGACCTATCGGTTGGTAGTATGCATTTCTAACCACTCGTTTGTTGCGCTCGTAGATAAATATTATGAAAGTTGTAAAATTAAAGTAACTGCATAATTAAGCTCAAAAATGATATCACCTCATTTGTGTCAGTTGCTTCAGTCTCAAACCAAACTGGCGCTCAACGTAATCATATCAAATTTATCATCTATTCTAATGAAATTTATTGCGAATTACACTTTGGATATTTAGGAAAATTTTTCTATTTCCAATGTCCTATTCAAAGAGCAAGTTTTTTCAAAAGAGTTTTTTTCTCAGAGTTAATGCTTCAAGCAGCTTAAAACTGGTTGGTTTTGATTCGGATTTTCTGCCGTGCTTGATATGCATATTTTGGTACTTCAAATTTAGATTGAATGCCCTAAATAAATTATTTTAGGCATCTTTAATGAAATTTGTTTCAAAAAAAATTTTTTTTTAGCTGAATAAAATATAAAATATTAGGATAAAAGTACAAGAGGGTTCACATAAAATTTTTTCTGGGTCTAACTTTTTTTTAGTGCGACGAAAATACTTTAAAATGAGTTATAAATATTTATTGTTGCATTTAAAAATTAAATTATGGCTGTGGACTACTGTTGGAGTCCTTAAACTTATTTACTGTAAACTTCCATAAATTTCAAAAATTAAAATCTCTAAGCAACAGTTTTAGTCAATTGATTATTTATTATTATTATTATTTGTTATAATAAATCATTTTTTTTTATTTTTTGCATTTAAAGCTTTCTTGCTACGAAATCAAGTTTTTATAACGCCTAGTTCATAAGCTGCTACTACTTATTTTCGAATGTGTAGTATTTTTTTTTTTTATTATGAATTTTGAATATTTTAATTCCAAAAACAAATTTATTATTTAGCAAACCGTATTAATTTTTTATTACTTCTTTCTTTCTCTCTCTCTTTCTCCCCCCTCTACCATAAACAGCGGCACCACCGGCAACGATGCCGATGCTGTCGATGGCGATGCCATCAACACCACCGTACTTGCGCGCGGTGCACGCTTCCTCGGACGGGTTGCACGTGCCTCGTTGCCCATACAAGCGCTCATGTTGCTGTTGTTGGGTGTTGCCACACTTGTGCCCCACGGTGAAGACTACACATGCATGTTCTCGAATTCCTTTGCGCGCAGTCTAGAGCCGATGTTGTCTTACCCGAATGGACCGCCACCGACGTAGTAGTAGTAGTTGTAGCGGTATTAGTTGACGGTTTCAATGGAATCAGATTTCAAAAACAAAACAAAACAGACAAAAAACACAAATGTTTAAAATACAATTAAATTTTGAAACGAACAAACAAACAAACAAACAATAGTTATGTAAGATAAACGAATATTTGTAAGTAAAGTGAGATTTGTAATATGTAAATGATGAAAACAGAGGAAAACCAAACGAAACAAGTTATATAAATAAATCATGTAAATGTACTCAAGTTGCAGTTGCTTAGAAAGTGTAGGTAAAGCAAAAGCAAAAACAAAAAGAAAAAACGAAAATAACAAATAAGTAATTGCGGTAGTTTTGTACGCTTGCGTGAAATATGTAAAAAACATAAAACAAAAAACAAAAAAAAAAAAAAAATAATGAAATCGATGTAAAAAATACAACAATTTGATTTTGTCAGAAAAACCGTTAAGCAAAAGGTATTGTCTTAAATACCAACAAATACAGTTGTACATACATACATACATATATAGTAAACAAAAATACCTGTATATGTGAATATATGTATGTATTTGCCTTGCTTGATTGATTGTACAATAATCGAAGTGAAGAAAACAGAAAGAAAAACAGAAAAGAAAAAAAAAAACAAAAACAAAAACTACTCCCTATATTTTCTGCATTGTATTGTATTGTACTTATCGCATTATATAATATTGAAATACTTGCCTTTAGCCACTTTCCCGCCCCCGTTAGTTGTGTACATTTGATAACCCTTAGATAGCGCTTTGGTATATTGAATAATGAAGAAATGATAAATCCAAAAAGTGTTGCATACAAAAAAATCGAATGTATATACGAAAAAATACTGGGAAACGAATATAGAATAATGTGAAGAAAAAATTAATTTTGTAGCACACAGCTAGTAACTTGCAAAAACAAAAGAAAAAAATATATATATATATAAAACTTTAGAAAGGCAACAACAAGTAGTAGCAAGAAATATGTGAAAATCTAGCATTTAAGCTTATAAAAAGAAAAAAAAAACAAAAATAACAAATTACGATACGCACATAGAATACGAAAAAAAATCACAAACAACAACAATGATAGCAAAACAAATTTTTGATATTTTCAGTTGATCGCAGAAAGTGAATATTTGCAAAAAAAAAAAAAAAAACTTTAAAACAACTGCCCACAAAATCAAAACCAATTTGCGCTCTGTCTTTATACCAAGCAGATTTTGTGGAACATTTTTGCTTAGTTGAACGCAGCGCGCAAAATTAAAACAGTGGGCAACTGCAAACAAAGCCAGCAAATGACATAAAACAATTCTAAAAAAAAAAAAACCGAAATCCTTTCGATATCACAACAACAACAAAACTCTCCAAAACAAAATTCCAAAAAATCAAAAAATTTTCTTGAAGCCACAAAAACAAAAACAAAAAATAAAGAAAGTTTTTTCAATCCGCAAAATCCATGACCCAAAAAAGTAATAAAAGAAAATTATTAAATGCGCTGCTTCTGACACAAACGCATCTCCCAAATTAAAGCGTTTGTGTTAAAAGATTGTCGCATTTACATTCTCGAAATTAGAAAGATATTTAAAAACCAATGTGTGCTAACATTTTGTGTACTCCAACACGCCCACATACAAATCTCTCCATTGTATGTTGTTGTTGTTGCTGCCAAAAAAAAAAAAAATGAAAAAAAAATGTGATGCCATAACATCGTTTCAACACAAAGTACTGAAGAAAGTCTAATTTCGCTTTATCAAAAACATTCCCAAACAGGCATTACCATAGTATTTTTTATTTAATTTATTTTCAAAACAAATAATTAAATCTAGTTGTAAAACGGAGACTCCCGAAATGTCGCTGTTGGCATTATTTGTATTGTCGCACTGTTATTTTGTGGTGCAGTTGTTGTAAATGCAAAGCGAAAAAAAAATGAATTCAACGAAAGCAGCAAGTGTCCTATGCTGGTGCTAAACCAAATTGCATGAAATTCTTTTTTGAAAAAAAAAAAAAAAAAAAAAAAAAAAATTTTTGAAAAGAGACAAACTGAAATACAAAACGAACGATTTGAAGAATTACAGTAATACTTTTTTTTGTTTATATAAATCACCCAACAAGTGAAGAAAGATAAATTATCGAAAATCGTATTTATTAGTAAAGAGATAAACATAAAAAATTATCAAAACTAAAGAAAAAAAATTTTGTTAATTATAAAACTCACACACACGCACTACAAGCGCATGTGTATTTTTATTTTTTTTTAATTTATTTACGCAAGAATCCATCCAATTTAGGTTCTATGAATATTACATGTATAAATATGTATGTAAATTATTATTTTTTTTTCTAATTTTTTATTTAAATTTTTCAAAAAAAAAAGAAAATTACGCTTTCGCTATGCTTTTCTCTATGTGTACCTAAAACGGAATATGCAAATGAAATTTATATTTTTTACTTTTCGCTGCATATAAATATTTGTGTAAAATTAAAATTAAATTAAATAAAAAATAACAGAATTTACGATATTATTATTGTTTATTTGAAATTTTGCGTATTGCTTGCTACTCTTTTACATACAATATTTACTTGTATATTTAAATGTTTGCCTTAATTGTAATTTATAAACAGAAAACTATTTTTTTTACACAAACTGACCGTAAATGACCTTTACTCAACAAAAATAAAAGTAAAAAAAAAAAAACAAAAAAAATCAAAGAAAAAACTTGAAAAAATACTGAAAAACAAACAAACTTAAAAACCCGCAGTTTTGAGTTGTCATCTTATGAGACGAAAACAAAAACAAAAATGAAATATGAAAATTACTTTATTTACTTATCGCATTAAGCAGCAATTGTTTTTGTAAAATTTTCTTTAGTCTTAAATTATTTGTTATATCCCTTACTCGTATATTTAAATTGTATTTACATATATAATACATACATATAAAGCGTATGTACAATAAACATTTATAATTATTACTATTATTACTATTATTATTATTATTATTATTATTATTATTACTACTATTATTACTATTATTAATATGTTATGAATATATCACCTTTGCAAAAATATAAAAATAAAATTAATTAAAAAAATATAATAACCGTTGTTTCATATCTAGAACACAATTGTGTGAAAACTTTCAATTTCGAAAAACAAAAAAATTCCGAGCGTAAAGTGATAGCCTATCCAGCAGTTTTTGATTTAATGCTTCCTCAATACTCTGTATGTTGTTAATCAGCTGATTTTATAGAAAATGTACTCAATTGTTGTGGTTGTAAGCCATAAAATATTCACCAAAGTGTTTTTTAGGGAAGATTGCAGTAGTTACAGTCCTTGGCTGGATAAAAGTACGATTGTAGTTGCTATTGTAGCGACTTGTTCCATCACGCCTCAAGGCAGGTAAAGTAAATCAATGCAGTCGCCATCTTCTAATGGGCAAGAGCTTTGTTAGATGTGTGGGCTCTAATGAGTTTTGTGGTGAGCATGTAAGGACGAGGCTAATGACGTACCACATGTTTATAAAGACGATGACCCACTTTCTGTGCACGACGTTTAGGACCTATCCGAAGGTCGTCATGGTACTAAACAGAGTTTTGGGTAGAGTACTGCCTTCCTGATGTGTCTAAATGGTGTGGCTTCAAATAGATGTCTGATTGCCTACTCAGCGCAAAAATATGCTCCATAACTAGCAGCATAGTTGTGTCACTGAGTAAGTGGGGCATAAGTGACAGCAGCAAGTCTTCTATTGTATTACAGTCCATGTGACGGTGCTCTGACTGGCTTGTTGCTTCTTCAGGTTCGACTCGCCGGTAACCGGTGTGCAAATCGGCGCTGGGCAATATTGAATGTGACTCTCATTAATTTGTTGTTATATTTTTTGCCGGAATTTTGACGTCGTCGACTTTCAAATTTACTTCGAGCAGCTACACTATTATCCAGCTGGTGTAAGTTGCAATCGATCCGACGCCAATATCGAGCAGTTATTGGTATACGAGATCAAAAAAGTGCACTCAGGTGGTAGAGAGAGACCTGAAATATGCAAATAAAACAAAAGCAAGAAAAAGACACCAACATGCGGAGCACCTCCCTTAATATTTTTGAAGGTTTTAGTTTCTACGGATGACTTTCGACCACTACGGTAATTCATGGTCTACCGCTTTAACCCCAATGGATTGAATGAATATTCGATAGGAGCACTGCGTGGTTGACCGTGCAAAAGGCATTTGACAGATTTGGTGCTATCAGCACAGCTCACGCGCAAGGTCGACTTTTGCTAAGGCCATTAATTATCTGGGTGCCTTTGGTGCCGGCCACAGCAGACTATTAGTGACATGAAATAAAAACTCCTTATAAATATACATCAGCCGTTCGGAGACAACTTAGAATAAATTGTAGATCCCTCCATTTGTTGGAAAAAGATCCAAAATTTGTGGTGTGCAAATTTGGTGGCCATGCTGATAAGCTGCTGCCCTCAAGTGTATTTGTTGCTAACTTGGTTTCTTGGACCCAGCTATCGATTGGGGCTGTCGGCTCTAGAAATCGACAATGTCGCCGATCTTCCCCTGTGGACCATTTTTGTAAAATTGCAAGAGTCTAGTCTGTCTCAGAAGCACGTCATGGTTATTGTTGTATTTGCTGTTGTTGTTTTCGAGTTATCACCGTTGTGCACTACTCTTACTTCTTTCTATGTAAATAAATATATTTATTAAAAAGTGAAGAAGATATTATTATTAATTATGATTAAATTGATACTTGTTGAATCTTTCCGTAAATTTTTCACAGTGTACAAAAATCCACTATGCAACAACAGATGGCGCTACTACATCCTGCTGCGAAAAATTATCGTTACCATGGCTTCAAGTTGTCTAAAGAATTGTATGGCAAAACCAAAATAAATTAAAAGAAAATAACAAAATTGGTGCTTTCCCAATTTAATGAAAAATATTGCACGATTCAATAAGGCTCAAGCACCAAATTGTAAAAAATGTTTCGACGTGGAAAATTGCAATTTCTCAGCACAAAAGATGATCGCATCAAAATAATGAATGAACGCATTAATTTGACGGAGAAGCATTTGATGGAGATTTGTGGAACCTTTGCGGCGTGTACAAGAAAAATAGCGAAGTGAGCAAAGAAGTGTAGAGGATTTAAAATAACGTTAATTATTTGTAAAAGAAAGCAAATAAATCCAATATTTCTTACTATAATTTCATAGATGTCGCAATGCTTTTGACGAATTGGGACACAAAATTCAAAATTTCGCTGAGGAGGAGAAAATCAATTACAGTTTGAGCGACGGTCTCAACGCCATAACGACTTCCTTAACTGTACAAGCTGATTATATGGATTTGCTGGTACATCGCTTGGAGATGAAGGTACAAATAGGTTACTTAAGTTTTTATTGTAAAAAGACTACAAAAGTTTCCCAAAACAGATTGTAAATGAACTGAGCCAGTTTGAAAATCTTTGCAAAACAACACGTGAAAATTTACGCACAGCAACAATCGCACGTGACAAAGAGGTGCTGAAGCAACAACAATTGATTGAAATTAAATCAAAGTTTACAGCGAATAATGTAAGTTGGAAAAATTCTAGTATTATGGTTACCAAAGTTTTTCCAGTATATTGAAATGAAGACCTTTGTGTTATTAATATTTTTAGACCGCCGCCGATTCTGAGCTAGTAAAAGCCAAATTGGAGGTGAATCGCGCCAACAAAGAAATCGATGATATAATCAATAGTTTTGAAAAACGTAAACTAACGGACGTAAAGGCACTTCTAACGGATTTCATACTAATTAGTTTAAAATATCATACCAAAACATTGGAAGTGCTGTCCGCCAGTTATTACGATGTTACAAATATTGATGAAAATGGTGATTTTAATGAATTTCAGAAATTAATGAAAACCAAATCTGAGCCGGCATCAAGAAAATCAGCACTTAAAAAGGGTATGAGATCACAATCGATGGATAGCTTAGATCATGATACGCTTTTGAGTCCCTTGAAAAATAGTAAGAAATTGTCGCGTAGTAATAAAAGTTTGACTGGCAAGACAGATGATGAGCGTGAGCACGATTTGAATAACGAAGAAGAGGATGATGATGATGATGACGATGATGAGGTGGTGTAACTGCTTTTCTTATAACAATAATTTTATATGTATTTCCATTTATTGTATCTCTCTTAGGACGACGATGAGGCATCCGGCAATAACAGCAATGATGATGAAGAGCTTTCAGGCACTGCGTCAGATGATGATGAACCAACGGAAAGTATTTCGGAAGCGAAACCAACAACACCAGCTAATAAATTGGATGAGAAAAAATCGAAAGCTGACGGAAAGCAGCCATTCCGCGCTATATCTTCAGCGCACGTAAGCACTCAGCGTAAATTGCATGGAAAATAAAATAGTTTTAGGCAACATTGTTGAACATTTGAAGATATTTTTCACAATACATAGTAATTTAATTGGCTTAAACATTCCGTTTTTGTAATACTATACGCATGAATGCATGTAGAAACATCTGCAGATCATCTCTTATACCATTCTACTATCCCACTATCCTAAAGCCATAAATTATTTACAACTCCATAATATGACTTCATATTCCGCTCAGGTCAGCAAGTCACAAAGTCAACATAAACCATTCGCTGCTAAAAGTGGCGTTGGTATACCAACTCTACATAAACGGGCATCAGCACCGCATTTCGGACCTAAAGAACGTCAGCTGAAAAGTAACCCTAGCAACATAACAATGACTCTAGATGGACCGGGCAGTCGCCTAGTAACGGTTGTTGAATCGAAAAAGTAATAAATAGTTGCACTAAATTATGCAAATGAAGCAATGATATCGATAAAACTGAGAAAGGATAATTAATTATGTATGCATGTATGTTGCGTCGAATGAATGCATATACTTTTACCTGAATAAACTATATATTTTTAAAACGAATTCTAATTTTTCATGTTTTGATTTAAAATTACTAATTCATTTATTATACCGAATTATGCATAGTGTATGGAAACTAAGAAAAATAATTAATATTTAATAATTATTACAATAATTAATAAGAAATTCACATATATCAAAGAACTTCTTTTTCTCCCACATTTGGTTATTGTTTACATATAAATAACAAAAAAAAAAAAAACTTTAAAATATGTTCAAAAATGATTCCTTAATCATTATATATTTAAAATTCACTTAATTAAAATAAGTATTGTTTGTAACTTAATTAAACATTTTGTGTCACATTTGAGCCAATTATTCTTCTTATCAGCATTTAAGGTTGCATTTTCGTGCGCTTTTGTGTTTAACATGACGTACATGTCGCTGTGTGTATGTGTGCACTTACATATTATGTATTTTTGTTTAGGAATTTAAATAAATGTCTTAATTTTGTTAAGATTATTGCATTTATGAGCGATATTTATAAGTATGCTTCATGGGAAAATATGAGGTTTTTACGCGAACCGCTTCGTTTTACTTCTCTGGCCCTTCAACACCTGCTTGATTCATCAGATCTGCAATACTTTTTTCCAAATCATCTATTCTGTTGCCCATGTCATCAATACGTGTGATAATTTGGTCCGACATTGTCTGGAATTTATCTTGAACATTTTGTAGCAGGTTTTGTACCTAAAATAAAGGATAAGTTAATTAAAACACATTACAAAGCATACAAATAGGTATTTGCTAAAAAAAAAAAAAATTAATAAAAAAAAGAGAATTACTCAAAAGTAATTACATTACTCCACCCCCTTTTTACCAAGACTTGGTTGGGTTTGCTAAGGAGCTTTGTGTACATTAGCAAAAACTGGGAGTGGCGGCTACCGGGAGGCAACGCAAGGCAAACTGTTTATATGTAATAATTACCACTATAATAATAATTACAAACACACTGAAATACATCACTATAAACGATGCCACTTTGGAGATGTTAGAAAATAAATAAGTTTCTTTATTACTCACATAAATTGTCAATTCCTGCATATTTTTTGGATCCGCATTACTACTTAGCGAATAGTTCTGATCCAAATCGCTATCAATATCATTCTTTATATCCGCCATGTTTGTGGTTTATTTTCGATTAAAATTAGTTCTAAATTGTTTGTGTTAACTTTTTTATAAAAGTATAAAAATAATATATCTTGCACACTTTCCGCTTTTGGAAACCAGACACAACAAAATTTTAACAGAAAATGACAATTTAGCAGCTGTCAGCTGCTCTTTCTGTTCTTTGTTGTTATTATGGTTGCCAGGGTATTTTGGCACAGGGTGATATATATGTTCCTGAATTTCAACGTAGGGCTGCATAAGTTTTGAGTAATTGCAAATTGACAACAACAGGCCTTTTCTCATTGTTACCGGTTAAGTAAATTTTGTTACGTTTCTTTAACACCCGAAATTGAATTTGGTATTCTGGCGAACTAGTTACAATGTTTGAAAAAAATTTGGCAGCATTGCTTTTTTCGTTCATGTCAAATCACATTTGCCAGTTGTAAAATTAAAAAGAAAGATATCCACATCGAAATGGAAGACGGTGCACAAAAAAATTAAAAAGTTTTAATAATTTGTTTATTAAATCATAATATTTAAACCTAATTATGGAAAATATGCCTGGACAACAAAAAAAGCTGAATGAAAACGATATCTAACAAATTAAAGGACTATGTTTTAGTCTCGAAATCTTCTTAAAATACGTCTTTTTGCACTTTTTTCTTCATCTTCGAAGAATTCCAGGCCTAAAATATGCCTACCCATTTTGGGTTTTTATTTTTTCTCAAACTTACAACACAAAATCAAACAGCAGATATTTTTGTTACCTTCTATTTCGCTGGTAACAAAATTTACAGGGTAACAGTGAGCTCAGAATACGAAATGGTAACAAAATTTACTAAAAGGTTAATTTTAATACCTTAGGTAAATTTTGTTACCTCGGCAGAATAGGCCTGTAAATGAAGGTAAATCTCTTTTTCAACACTATGTGGCCGAAAAAGCGCTTCAGTGTTTACATATATGAAAGATAAGCGAATGCTTTCATAATTAGTCGGAATTTTTCGCTGATAATATTTGCCTGGCTTCTGTACGGATTTTTCGTGTCTGGTATCAATATATTGAAATTTGGTCGGGTCTATAACTCATCTGATTTGGGTTTCTTGGTATCTAAATTATGTTCTTCAAGATTTTGTAAGTCGGGATTTTATTATTCAGACAATATAATAATTGCAGCTCTAAAAGCTTCCGTAAAGGCGCTATCAGACAAAGCTATAATTTATTGTGACGTTGATTTCCTAAAATCATTCTAGTTCGATTGTTAAATATTAGTGATAATATTCATTTTCCTACTTTTTTATTATAAACTCATATTTTACTATTTCTCTTATAAATACGCAGCTTATTCTCGAGCTTGGTTTTTGGAATGCATCTTCTTCACGGCACCATAATTGCCTTGTTCGCTCTATCAATGCTCTACTAAACTCCCAAATTCGGGGGATTAACAAAAGTTGTGTCAAAAGACTAATTCTAAGAAGTTCCGGATATTTTTCCGTAGAGGCCGACCATAATCTTCCACTAATTACGCCACTGTAGCTCTTATGACGATCGATGGGTACCACGAATTTTAAATGAGACCCAGACAGCGGCTCGAGTGCATTTTGCTTAATTTTTTCCTAAAAAATTCGAAAATGGTTAGCCTAGCAACTTTAGTAGAATCGTTATCGGTGACAAATCTTAGTTCTATAAGTACGGTTCATAAACCAGGAAGCAGTCCATGGTATGGAGCCCAATAGTAGCAAACACACACGTAAAATCTTAACAACAACAATCAGCCGCGCAAGTAATTATGTCAGCTTACTTCATCCGATCTAAGATCGTAGCTGTTACTCCACTGGAAAAGGATCAGATGCTAACTGCAAAATGGTACATCAAGAAGGATTTGCGGCGCAACTTTTAACATGACAACGTGCCATTCCACACTGCAGAAGTAAGGAGTAATTTTATTGCGATCGAAGAAATACGCCCAGCACCATATTGCCTGGATAAAATATCTTGTGAACGCTAGTTATTTCCAAAAATTAAAAAAAAAAAACGTAAAAGGAAAGGCCTTTAATAGCAATGAAGAGATAATAAATGCGCTTAGAGCAGAACTTGGTAAGCTTAAAGAGCAAGATTTTGAAAACTGTTTTCAGAGATGGATCTATAGGCTTAAGGGGCACACCTAGTGTAAAGGCCTAGAAAAGGGTGATTTTTGGGAATTTTATAAAAAAAAAATACTTTATCAATAATTTCAAAATTTTAAAAATATATTTATACACGTGTCAAGAATATACAGTAAAATTTTTGAAGAAAAAAATTAAATATTTTTTAAGTTATAGTCGATCTCCAACGGCGCGAAAAAAAGATCCTTCACTGCTGAAGTGATTCCGGCCTTTTCAGTGGATGAAATCTAAAAAAAAAATCTCGTTCAGATAATATTGTCTGTGCAATGACCTACGATAAAAAATCTAAAATTGACAATATGGCGGCGTTTTAAAAAAAATAGTCGAATTTTACTCAAAATTTTGGTCGTTTTTGGCTTACAAAAACTCGATTTTTTGATCAGATCAAAAATCGTTAGCTCATTGTACGGAGAACTATGAGTATATATAGGACATGTAAACGAAATTCGATAGTGCTCGGATCATTCGTTTTTGAGTATTCACTGCAGCAAATTCGGAAAATGTTGTTTCGAGAAAAACAAGTTTAAATATAAAATGATCAGGTGCGTCTAGTAGCTAATGAGACTCTCCAGCTGCCGAGGGGCTGCTCTTTAAATTGCTATAACTCAAAAACTATTTGAGATATCGATTTGAAATTTGAATATATTATTTTTAAAGGGTTATTCTACCGAAAAATGAAAGGTCGATTTTTTGAAATTTCACACTAGGTGTGCCACTTAAGAAAATCATTGAAATCAATGGGACAAATATTACGAATAAGTGCAAAAAGAATTTTTTTGGTTTTACCGAACTTTTGTCAATCCCCACGTACATGCCGAATTGTTATGCGAATTTTTTAAAGTGAATTACGCCAAATGTTGGTAGTTCATTCTCAATTACCTTGCGAATTAAGAAGAAATCGTTGTCTTCTGTAATTTTTAACCGGAATTTATCGTAATCAGTTGAAAAATTAAAAACGAAATTGAAATGAAAAATAAAACAGTCAAATCGCTTGCACTGTGGCTGGGGTAATTGGCGTGCGTTCCACGATGCCGTCGAAAAGCCGTGGTATTTGAAAAATCTACATAACGCGCGCTCGATAGGCAGCGGATATACAGGGTCCGCCATCTAACATTTTTTTTTTAACTAGTGGTTATTTTGAGTGTGGTAACACTGATGTTATATCTGATTTGACAGAAAGTTAGTTTTATCCTTCCGCGAAAATTACGCACGGAAATGAGCCGTAACAAAGCACCGTACGCTCCGTATGTGCGCTTTCTTTTGAAAAATTTGAGAGAAACTGGCACAATGATTGATAAACCAACGCGTGAGAAACCAAAAAAGTGCGTACTGCCGAAAGTATCGCTGCTGTGGCCCAGAGTGTGCGTGAGGCGCCCGGAACATCAGTGAAGCGTCGCTCTCAACAATTGGACATTTCCGAGACGTCCCTTAGGCGAATTTTGAAAAAAGACCTTGGTATGACACCGTACAAAGTTCAATTGGTTCAAGAATTGAAGCCACGAGACCATCCGATGCAGTTTGCCTTTGCCGAATGGGCATTTGTTTTATTGCATTTAAAAAAAAAAAAAGTTACGTGGCGGACCCTGTATGTATGTGTGTACGTATGTACGTATGTATATATGCCAAATAAGAAGAAATAAACTTAACAGCTTGTCTCATGTGACAAATGACTTAATTAACCAACGTAATGCAAAGGAAACCAAATGACACAAATTTATTTATTTGATATTTCTAAATTGCTCTCACGCCAAAACTCAGTCAACACTTTCAATGAACGGTATAACCTTCGCCGAAAAACGGAAAAACGGTTCTTTTTCATAAAATACACTGATTTATGATCCACTAATACGAATGCACTTAGGAAAGGCTTGACACCTTTGAGTTTGCACGTGTCCATGCGGCTCCATAACACGAGCTCATTCATTCATTGCGCGAATGCGAATTTCTAAAGGTGTATTTATATACTCGTATGCATAACGGTGTGTCCCAAAAATAACCGAACTTTTTGGATATAAAATAAAATGAATGGCTGGGATATCATCATAAAATGCTCCCTTCATCTTAGTTTTCAGTTTTGGAAATAAAAAATAGTCACATGGTGATAGATCAGGCGAATACTGAGGATGGTCGATGAGAGAAATCCTTTTTTCATAAAAAATTCGAGCGATTTTTTGGTCGTCATTTAATTCATGTGGAACAAATCGCGCATAGACCTTTCTTTTCCCCAAACCTTCAGTTAAAATTCTCCAAATAGTGTTTTTACTCGTATTCAATTCTTCAGCCAACATTCTCGTAGTAAAATTTGCATCGATACCAATGATTTCACATACTTTTTCCACCAGTTCAGCACGATTACTAATTTCTGGACGTCCTGCTCTAGGGTTGCCACGTATAAACTTGCGTACGACTCATACAATCATCATAATAAACTTTTTTCATTAACTTTTTTTCAAGTTTTGGTTTTATTGAAATGGCTGTCACGTGTACATCTGTCATCCGACTTACATGGAGTTAGGTGCGTTTGAAAGAGGATTAATGTATCTTTTTAATGTTTCAAATTTTCAATAGATGTCGCTGTATGTTGTATGATTTAAATATAAAGTTCGGTTATTTTTGGGACACACTGTATGCACTTATGTTTACAGTTTGTATATGTGTGTGTGTAGGAGCATTTACCCATATTTTTCAAAGCTTAATCCAATGTTATTTATAACGGCAACATACATAAGATTCTCCACTTACCAGCGACTAAAGGCAAAAAGTGTTATTATATTGGGTGTTATCCGCGTATGTGTAGATATATATTTTTGTATGTATGCATGTGAGAGTAAATCTGCTATCAGGTGTTAAACCGAGTAGTTGTAAGTTGCCACCTAGACGTCGCAAGCTACATAATGACCCTTGACTTAAATATCAGATTAGTGTTGTTTTCATTATAAATGAATGTTGCTTATTTATTGGGTGTGACGTATGAAGCAACAGCAACTTA